TTGATCTGGTAGGGTTAGTCATAATGTTTACGATCTAATCAGTTTTTGTATGACGATGTAGGTAAGGTATTAATTAATAAACTACTAACTTTCGGATTCTTTGCTAACGGAACCGTTATCCGTATCGACAGAGGGAGTGGGACTAGCTCTCTCTTGTCTAATGACTCCGGTCTCGAAGGTAGACACTGGTGTACGAATAGGTCGATATTTTTAATATTAGTTCTTAGATTTTCGAAAAAGTAAGGAGTGAAGGATAGAGAAGGGTCTGACTTTTCTCAAGATATCTTTTTCTACGGAGTTGCTTGTTTTTTCGCGAATCTCTCGGAGAAAACTTCTGAATTGAATCTGTTGTTCTAAGTCTTCTTCTTGATGAATATGAGTGTGGTACGTGGCGAGAAGTAACTGCTCTTCTTCCGATAGCTTTTCCCAAGGAGTCGGGGTATTATTGCGCTCGGTCTCTTCTTTTCGTAACCTGAGGATAACAAGATAACGCTGGATCAATTCGGCGTTCTCTTGCAAGTTCACTAGAAAATGAACAAAAAAAGAAGGAAGGGTAATTTTTAGGGATTTTTGTTCGTGGATAGAATTTTAAGAGATGAAGCGGTAAAAAAATGAGATGTAATGTTTATAAGGGTTTTGGTTTTTGTGTAAAAAAAATGTATATGTTTTTATTGATTTTTATTTTCTCTCAAGTAAGGAAAAAGGATGACCGTAAAAAAATGATAATTTTTTATGGGTTTGATTAGTTTTGTGAGAAAAAACAAGAATAAAATCCAGGTGGCTTATTTTATTAAAAAAGGTGATTTTAATAAAATTTTCCCGGCCAGACCCCCAATTGTCAGCCTATGTGATGCCAAGACAAGTGTCTTCTAGCTACACAAGGTGCAAAAACTAAGAGTTTTTATGGTAAAAACTCAGGGACAAAACTGGTATAAGTAATTCAGAAGAATTACGTGAAATTTATGGATTAAATCCAAAAGTGGCCAATTTATATTAATAAAATTAATATAAATAAAACCAGAGGGGCCTGATAAATCAGGGGTGGTTTAATCCCTCTAAGGTATCGTGCAAAAAGCAGAGGATTTAGGTACCTGGAACACTGGGGCCTGTGAACAGGTGTGGTTTAAATCCCAGGAAGAATTTAAGGGGAAAATCTCAAGAAAAGGGTTATTACTTACTAGTAATAATCCTATGGGGTCTTGAGGATCTTCAAGGTGGAAACTGGACAGTTGGGAGCGCTCAGAAAGGTTGATTTTGGGTGCTTGGTGGTAACTGTTGAGTTTCTTGAGGAATTTTGAGGCTTTAATAACAGCAATAATAGTAGTAACTAAGCTAATTACAAGTGCAGGGGACTTGTAAATGGTAAGTATGTTTCTATATAGTATTGTAAAGCTGGGGGATCATTATTTGGGCGGTCAGAAGGCCCTTTGAATACCTGTGGAAGACCTCAGGGGTTGCTCAGGGGAGCTTAGTAGGACTTGGGAGCACTTTGTGGCCCATTTTAGCCAACATGGTGACGCAACAAGGGCTGAAACCTTGGGGATAATATTCTAGAAGTTCCCAGGGGTCATGCACGAATTTATTTGAACCAAGAATATCCCTCAGGAACCTTTGGATAATTGCTAGTCTGTTACGTGGAGTTATCTCCTTGGAAATGGGCCACAGAATGTCCAAGAGGTGGTTTCTGGGGCTTGCTACACGTGTTACCACTTGGGATATAGAATATTCTAGGTTACTGTAGTATTTTCATGCATATTCTAGTTTGTTTATATTTTTATTACACGTGTGGGGGCTTTGTTGTCACGTGTAATGAGGATTCTGGGGCGCTTGTGGCCCATTCCTTGGATACTGGTAACCCAGAGGGGGTTATGCATGTATCCAAGGCGGGTGGGCTTACCTAGCACGCGCGGGGGCTTGAGCCTTGGGCTCAATTGTAGTCAGGCGCGCCTGTCAACAGTGCACAGCATGACTACGTGGCGCGCGGGCTTGGAGACAGTACACGCCACGCAGCTCTATCTTCCAAACTATACACAACACTCCAAATCTGAGACAAGATTTGGAGTATATGCATATTGTTATGTATGATGCATAATTATTTAGGTGCCCGTGATCTATGGGTACCTGTTAATTCTTTAAGTGGGTATTACAGGATGAAGGAGTTACAATTAGGGGTACCTTTGGCTGAGGTACCCTAGGTTAAATTGTACGTAGATTCAGAATCTGTAATAATAATTAAAGTTTTCTCTAATCTTTCTATGTTATTTATATATTTTTAAGTGTTTTTATGTTATTTACATAAGTAAATTAGTTTCTTTTACTTATGTAATATTTTTACTTTATTCTTAGATTTTTTATGTGTTTTTTTATTTTACTTTGTTATGACAGGTTGTCTCTGCCATAGTAGCAAGCTGACACCCGTCTCTACCGTACAGACTACGCCGCCGTCACCTCCCCACGACCCTCTGCCTTACTGACTTCACCGCCGTGGGTTGGCTTACAACGATTGACCCTCTGCTCATCATCTTGACTTCACCGTCGTGGGTTGGCTTACGACGATTGACCCTCTGCTCATCATCTTGACTTGGCCCTCCCACCAACCCAACCATTCTTCTCTCCCATCCTTCAACCCACCAATCACTTCTCCCTTGGTTCGTGAGACTGTACTTTGTCTCCATCTAACTCCACCAAGCAGATCTATTGGGCTCATCCATCCCATCACCTCCAAACGACTCTACCATACTGAATTGGCCTCCGCGCGCTTGCGACAACTGATTCCTCTGCTCATCACTTTGGCATGGCCCACCAAGCAGACCATTATTCTTTGCCCTTGTAAGCCTGCTACTATTTAGAGACAACCTGAACATAGCATAAAAATATTTAGAGACATTATTACATATACTACCCCCATAGCATATGTAATTAAATGTCTATTTTATATGTACATAATATAGAGACATTATTACATATGTACATATAAAAACATTAATATTTAAATAAGTGGAATCACTATAAAAGAGACATTATTACTCATTACATTAAGTTTTACTAGTCATGAAATAAAACATAAAAATAAACCAAAAACATTTATAAATAAACATTTTTAACATGAATCTACAAATAACTTCTGAACCTTAATCAAAAGTTAGAATATTATTTCAGATTCTTAATTCTTATGCAAAATAACCTAGGGTACCTCACCAGAAGCACCCCTGAATTATTACTCCTTCATGTACTTCTGTGTACTCTGAGTGACACTTGCCCATTTTGCTAAAAACCCTCCCAGTTACATCATACTACATGTTGTGACAGGTCTAAACATGTAATTAAGGTTCATTCAGTTCGGGAAAAATCTACAAAAAAGGTTGACATCATTGAAACCTTAACTACATTGTCACAACAACTGTAACTGGCTGGTCAAAAGCCATTTGTGGCCCTTTTTGGCCCAATTTGGCTAACTACGCCTGGTTAAGACCAGCCCACTGGTCATTAAAGGGTCCCAGTGACCAAACCATGGCTGCAGGTTCGTCACAGCACCCCTTAGTATGTGTTACAAGCCTCACTTCAGCCCTCTGCCACCTGTAACCAAGGACTACAGGTGTCTAGGCTGTGCTACAGGTCACCAATGCCTAGTAGGAGGCTTGCACCAGCCAAACAGAGTTCTGAGTTCGCCTCCAAGGGCCCAGAATGAGTATATAAGGAGCCCTTCTTGACCACGAACTCAAATTCCCTATCTTCATTACCATTTACCAGCAATAACCACCTCCAACAACCAGTTTTTCACCTGTTTTTGGCCCAGTTCCTGCTGTTTCTGTCTTGGATATCACCAACCCAACCATCAACTGTTCCCCAGCACTCTTCCAACACCTGTTACCCAGTTTTCTGAGCGCTCCCAGACCAGTTTTCACCCACCTGAAGTCCCCTTGGCTTGGAAATAGTACTAAGTAGGTAATATTTCCTTGATACTTCAGTTGTAGGCATTTTGTCTGGGCATACTCCTTTACACAAAGGACCAGATCATCAGTTACATCAAAAATACCCCTGTTTAACAGGTCCTGATTCCTTGGAGGGCACCATAAAAACCCCTGTAACTCAGGCCCCTCCTTTTATAAAAACTTAACAGTTTTTATTATTTCTTTTCTCAATATCAATTATCTCCCCATCCCAAGTGTTACCCACACTTGTACACATTTTTTCTTAGCTTTGCACCTGGTGTAGCTAGAAGATTCTAGCTCTTGGCATCACCCAGGCTGACAATTGGGGGTCTGGCCGGGAAAACCTTTTATCTTTTGATAAAAACCTGGTACTACTTTTCTTTAAAAAATAAAAACAAAACACATACAAAAATTATATTTTTTACTCCTTCCTCTTGAATTTTTTTTACAAAAATCAAACCACTTAAAAACATCTTACAAAAAGCAAAAATAAATCCTAAAAAACATTTTCTTACTAGCCTTTTTCTTTTACCTTTTTCCTTATAGTGGAATTGCAAGAAACCTCGAGACTAATCAAATACTATCTTAAACTCTTTGCCTCCGAAAAAGCACAGCGCGCAGCTCTCTATCAACCATCTCCTTGGGATTTACTTACCCCTCAAGAACAACGCGCCAGAGCCTTAGCACGCATAGAAAAAAACGAAGAAGATAGAATCAACAATCTGTTTACTTTCAACTCCCTCAAACGCCAACATAAAGAGCGCCTCCGCGAAATTTTAGCAGGAATTAAAGCAAAAAGACTCGCTAAAAGTTCGTTCACATCTCTTATTACGCTAGCTATCTTCAGAATAAAGTGTTAATAAACAAAAATTTCACGCTTGTTTCACCGGTAGTGTCTATCACCTCCAACTCAAGCGCTGCTTCTACCCCGGTCGCTGAAACAGCCGCCAACAGCCCCATCACGAGTAAGTACATTGTTCTTACTATTTTCTTTTTTTTTGAGAAAAGGATTTTCTCTTTTTGACAAACACAAATAAATAAAATAAAAATATTAACAAGTGGGCGAACATGTCTACTAGATCAAATAACCCCGACTTGCACGGCCCCCTTCCCCCAGCCTTGCGACCAAGGCGTAGCAAATCAGCTGGAGGAACGGGTCAACCGCCTCAAGCTGATTACGATCCAAAAGAAGCTAGCGCCAGTCTCAGTCGCAAGAGCGACGGAGGAGATATTGGTCGAGAGAGGCTCAACCACGGCTCGAGTTACAAGTCCGAGCACCGCGACCATACCAAAGACCCCAAAGAACTTGGTCCCAGCAATAGCTTCTGCGACTACAGCCCAAGATCACATGGACTTGGATCAAGCGGCGCAAAAAACGCCAGTCCAGGACACGAACCCAGCGACCACAGCTTCGGAAGCGATGGACGTGGATCCCATAGCTTCAACCTCTTCGGTGGATATCCAGCTACTCCGCAAATTGCCGGAGAAGCAAGTGTTATCCAAAGAAGAGAGGATCAAACACCTCGTGAAAGAGCATATACACCTCTGGAAGAGGTGCACAGTAGCCCAACAGTCCGGCGCGATGGAAGATCTCAAGATACTTCTCCATCAAGCGCAGGACAGTCAGAAGGTACTCCAGAAGCTAATTCCTCGCAAGGAGTTAGAAGAGTTCGTCAAGGGCTGGAACCCTTGGACGATCAAGAAAGAGCTGTTTCCCACCGCGCCGAAGAAAAACGACGGCAAGAAGCGCTCCTCCTCCTCCAAAGGAGCAAAGGAACTCTACAACGACCCAAACCGTTGGAAACAGGTCATGAGAGGTTGCAACACCCTCGAGGCGGCATACCGCCACATGGCGGATTAGACACTAAAATTCTTACCGCTATCCTGGATAGTTTGGAACTAGTTAGCAAAAACCTCTCGGCTATTGATAGTAATGCCGAAGAGAACTTTAAAACCATTGTACATAGTCTAGACCTTGTTTCACGCAACAACAAAAAGAATGCGACTTCGTTATCTGTGCAATTTGACAACATGATCAGAAATCCTGAGATGACTAAAATCATCGCTGAAAACACAGCTAAATGTGAGAAGGCTTGCTCTAAGATGACTGCGTCCGTCGACAAACTCAACAACGACTTGAGCACTTCCTCTGACCACATCATATCTACCATTAGAGAAGATGATGTTGTAGAGAACGCGAAGAAAAAGGAAGAAGTAGATGTCATAAAAGACTTACTAATCCAACAAAATATCAGATCAGAAGGCTTAAGCAGCCTTTTTAAAGAACAAATTTCTCTGCTTAGAAAAGACATGAAAGCTGAGATAAAATCTAGTGTTCAAGCCTCCCTAGCGCAATATATTTTTCAAAATAATACTGCGCCTCTCATCAATCAACCTGACAGCAGTGCTCATCCGCGCCTAGATCAACATATGCATGCACGCTTCAATAATCCCTATATGGAGGAGGTACAAAGTCAAAAAGACAGAGACATTGCCCCTCACCTTAGTAATTCTCATCAAACATCTGCGCCGCAGCACAACTCTAGAAATTCTCAACCTCCGTTTAATAATTCTAGAAATTTTAATACGCCACAGCAGCAAGAAAATAATTCCAATAGAGTCCCATCTAGGTATTATAATATGGATTTGGCCACTTTAAATAAACTGGTCCCTCCTGTCACAGATTGGCCTAAATTTGCCGGCTCAGATGACTATGACCATATAAGTTTCATTAAATACATTGACCACATGTTGTTGTCTTACAGCGCAGATGATGAGTTTGTCCTCAGTAGACTTCCAAGGTGATTCACAGGAGTAGCTCTTGAGTGGTTTATAGAAAAACAAGAATCTGTTGGAAAACAATCTTGGGACACGTGGAAAAAATTAATTAAAGCCCACTTTGGTACCAGATTATGGGAGCAGAAAATCAGAAGAGCCTTTGAGAGTGATTAATTTGATCCCACAAAAGACAAACCTCACAAATGGTGTCTCACGCAGAAAAAGAGGATTGATTGTATGTACAAAAATCCCACCCAACTAGACATTAATGATAAATTGCTTGATCAATGTAAAGGAAATCTAGAGCACCAAATGAGGTGTAGACTCCCAAATATGGACACTGATTTATCCACATTTATTAATGTTATGGAAGAAGTCATTGAAATGACTGGTGCCAACAGAAGACACAGGGAAAATTATTCAGACAGAAGGGAAGTAACTTCAAAAAATCCTGCTCCTAAGGAAAAAGAAGGCAAACCTGCTGAAATTGCCGCTAAAAAAGCTGTCATACCTGAATGCTACAACTGCGGGGAAAAAGGACACAAGAGACCTGATTGCCCCAATCCCAGAAAGAAGATAAATAATGTCAACATTGAACCTGACAGTGAGGAAGAAACCTCTTCTAGGTTTGAAATGGTTCAAGTGGAACCTGAAGACTCAGATTTCCACCAAAATCATCACCAATCTGAGGAATCAGAGTACAGATTCCATGTTATATCAGCAGATATTGGGGATAAGTTTGAAATTAATGCCATCCACGGTGAGTCAAATTTGCCTCAGAAATGGGATCCTACAATGGAAGTTGGCCACATTTCTGATGCCAAACTTTTGTCCAACAAACCTGAGACAGGTATGAGCTATACTATGGGAAAAACCAGTTACACTACTGTCATGTTCCAAGGTAAAGAATGGAAAGCTTTGCTTGACATTGGAGCTTTCTGCTCATGCACTAGTAGTGATTTCCTTGATACTTGTTACCCAGAATGGAAAAATTACTTGTTGCCTGTACCTAAAGCTAAGTTCAGCAGTTGTAATTCTTCCATGAAGCCCCTTGGTGTATATAATTAGTATGCCCTTAATATTCCCTCACTCCAAAGGATCTTTGAGACTCATTGTTGAATTTGTTGTTTTACAAGATGCTTTATGTGAATATTTTATTTTGGGAAATGATACTTTCTGCTTGTATGGCATAGATATTTTTCAGAGTAAAAATAGATACTATACCATTGGTGGAGACTGGAAAAGAAAATTCCAGATTTGCAATGTGAACATTAAAATACCTGAGCCAATCAAAGAAGTATCTTGCCTGACACAAGAACTCATTGAGTTTGATAAAGAGTATCTGTCACAAGCAGCTGTGAGTGATATACTAACCCAAAAGCAGAAAAAGGATGTCTTGAAAATATGCTATAAATATAAAGAGGCTTTCTGCACAACAGAAGAACCCATTGGAAATGTCAAAGGACATGACATCAAGTTAGAATTAACCTGTCAACCTCCGTACCCTCCAGCCCTCAGGAGAGCTGCTTATCCATCTAGCCCAAAGTCCAGAGTAGCTTTAGAGACTCACATAAAAGAGCTATTGGACCTCAAAGTTATAAGAAAAGTAGGCCATAATGAGCAGGTAGAAATTACTACTCCTGTAATTATTGCATGGCATAATGAGAAGTCCAGGATGGTTGGAGATTTTAGAGCTTTGAATAATTACACCAAAGCTGATAATTATCCCATTCCTAGAATTTACCACTCTTTACATAACTTGTCTAAGGCAAAATATATTACCACTATGGATGTGCTTAAGGGATTCCATCAAATACCTATTGAGCCAAATAGCAGACAATTTATGCGCATTATATGCCATTTAGGTGTTTATGAGTACCTCAGAATGCCTTTTGGAATTAAAAATGCACCATCCCATTTTCAAAGGATGATGGACTCTATATTTGGGAGCTTTATCCGTCAAAATTGGATGATGGTTTACATAGATGACATTATCATTTATTCTGATAATTGGGCCACACATCTGGCAAAAATTACTTCTGTGCTTGAAAAGGCAGTAAAATCTGGCCTCAAAATGTCCATTAAGAAATGTAATTTTGGTTATGGAGAGCTTAAAGCATTGGGACGCATAGTTTCAGGTTTAACCTTGGCCATAGATCAGCACAGAGTAGCAGCTGTCTTGTTAAAACCCATGCCCCAGAATATTACAGAAATGCAATCATTTTTAGGCTTTTGTAGCTACTATAGGCAACATATCCCCAAATTTGCCAATATTACCCATAGTCTTTATGAAATTTGTAGTAAAGATGTAATATATGAGATGACATATTCCCGTGTCCAGGATTATGAGCAATTAAAACACCTTATGACCACTGCTCCTGTTCTGGCCCAACCTGATTATACCAAACCATTTATTTTATACATAGATGCTTGTTTGGATGGTTTAGGTTCAGCTTTGCATCAAGAATTTGAGATTGATGATATTCCAACTGAAAAACCAGTATTGTTTATCTCTAGGCAAATCAAGTCAAGTGAGAGGAAATATGGAGCAAGCCAAATGGAGTGTTTAGCATTAGTCTGGTCACTTGAAAAATTACATTACTACCTTGAGGGCACAAAAGTTGTAGTAGTCACTGATTGCACAGCAGTTAAAACTCTCATGAATATGAAAACACCTAACAGAAATATGCTCAGGAGGCAAATTGCTATTCAGCAGTACAGAGGACATATGACAATTGTTCATAAAGCTGGCATTAAACACAGAAATGCAGATGGACTTAGTAGGTGGGCTTTACCCAACACACCTGATGACCCAGCCTGGGATCCAGAAGATGAGGATATTTTTCCCATTTTGGGAATCCACGTGTGTGATTTGGATGTAGCTTTCTACAACCTAGTCCAAGACAGCTATAAGGATAATATTGAATTGTTAAAATTGGTTGACATCCTGAGCAATGAAAATAGTTCCCCTGAGTTAATTGCTAGCCTGCCCCCTAAATTGGCAAAACCTTATTCTGAAGGAAAATTCACCTTATTGGATGGATTACTGTACTACAGAAATAGACACTCTAGTGTTTTAGTACTCTGTGACCAGGCACAAATTGACAACATTCTTTATGAATGTCATGACAATCTCAATTCTGGCCACTTTTCTGAAGATAGAACAGTGGAAAGGATAAAACATACTGCCTGGTGGCTAGACTGGAGATCCCAAGTCACCAATTATGTCAAGTCTTGTGAAATTTGTCAGAAATCAAATAAACAAACAGGGAAAAGATATGGGTTACTCCAGAAAATTGCAGAGCCCAGTACTAAGTGGGAAATAATTAACATGGACTTTGTCACAGGACTGCCTCCTGGAGGAGCTTACTCTTACAACCCTGTTCTAGTAGTAGTGGACAGGTACTCCAAAAGAGCCAGGTTTATCCCAAACCATAAGGATGACACTGCAATGGAAGTAGCCATGTTATTCTGGAACAGAATAATGGCTGACGTAGGAATTCCCAAGATTATCATCAGTGATAGAGATCCTAAATTTACCTCAGAATTTTGGAGAAACCTTCATGACATGCTTGGTACTAAATTAGCTTTTTCCACAGCCTACCACCCCCAGACTGATGGCCTGGCTGAAAGGATGATTCAGACCTTAGAAGATATGCTCAGAAGATTCTGCTCATTTGGTTTAGAATTTAAGAACCATGATGGCTATACTCATGATTGGGTCAGCTTGTTGCCTGCTCTTGAAATTGCATATAACAGCAGCAAACATTCTTCCTCAAATGAAGTACCTTATGTCCTTGAGAGAGGTTGGATCCCAAGAATGCCAAAAGATACTCTTAATGATAAATTACCACATATACACCCAACAGCTTTAGACTTTAAAAAGATGATTGATGTGACTTAAAATCATGCCAGAAAGTGTGTCGAAGAAGCTGTAGAGTATAATAAGAACAGATGGGATAAGAGCCATAAACAACCAGATTTTAAAATTGGGGATAAAGTTCTATTATCTACTGTAAATTTTAATAATTTGGGGGGTAATAAGAAACTTAAGCCATCCTTCATAGGCCCATTTACAATCAAAGACATGCATGGTAAAAATGCAGTAGAAGTCATCTTGAGTGAAGAAGTTTCCAGGAAACACCCCGTATTTCCTGTAAGCCTAGTCAAACCTTACACACCTAGAGACAATACCGATCCAAAGCCATGTCCCCCAGTCCCAATAATAGAACCGAGTAAAGATGAGAAACTTCATGTGTCAGCTAAGATATTAAAAGACAAGAAAGAAAGAATTCAAGGAAAAGACACAAGGCTTTACTTAGTCAGGTATAAAAATCAATCCGCAGATAAGGATGAGTGGTTACCAGAGTCCAACATACCTGATGGAGCAATTCACTTGAGGAATTACAGAGCCTCTAAGAGGAGTTAAAGTGCCTGCAACCCAAATTTTTTTTTCACACTTTGTCAAAGCTATTTTTTTCTTCTTGCTATGAGTAGGAAACTCATCTTAGGGGTAGGGAATGTCAGCCTGCTACTATTTAGAGACAACCTGACCATAGCATAAAAATATTTAGAGACATTATTACATATACTACCCCCATAGCATATGTAATTAAATGTCTATTTTATATGTACATAATATAGAGACATTATTACATATGTACATATAAAAACATTAATATTTAAATAAGTGGAATCACTATAAAAGAGACATTATTACTCATTACATTAAGTTTTACTAGTCATGAAATAAAACATAAAAATAAACCAAAAACATTTATAAATAAACATTTTTAACATGAATCTACAAATAACTTCTGAACCTTAATCAAAAGTTAGAATATTATTTCAGATTCTTAATTCTCATGCAAAATAACCTAGGGTACCTCACCAGAAGCACCCCTGAATTATTACTCCTTCATGTACTTCTGTGTACTCTGAGTGACACTTGCCCATTTTGCTAAAAACCCTCCCAGTTACATCATACTACATGTTGTGACAGGTCTACACATGTAATTAAGGTTCATGCAGTTCGGGAAAAATCTACAAAAAAGGTTGACATCATTGAAACCTTAACTACATTGTCACAAGAACTGTAACTGGCTGGTCAAAAGCCATTTGTGGCCCTTTTTGGCCCAATTTGGCTAACTACGCCTGGTTAAGACCAGCCCACTGGTCATTAAAGGGTCCCAGTGACCAAACCATGGCTGCAGGTTTGTCACAGCACCCCTTAGTATGTGTTACAAGCCTCACTTCAGCCCTCTGCCACCTGTAACCAAGGACTACAGGTGTCTAGGCTGTGCTACAGGTCACCAATGCCTAGTAGGAGGCTTGCACCAGCCAAACAGAGTTCTGAGTTCGCCTCCAAGGGCCCAGAATGAGTATATAAGGAGCCCTTCTTGACCACGAACTCAAAATCTCCATCTTCATTACCATTTACCAGCAATAACCACCTCCAACAACCAGTTTTTCACCTGTTTTTGGCCCAGTTCCTGCTGTTTCTGTCTTGGATATCACCAACCCAACCATCAACTGTTCCCCAGCACTCTTCCAACACCTGTTACCCAGTTTTCTGAGCGCTCCCAGACCAGTTTTCACCCACCTGAAGTCCCCTTGGCTTGGAAATAGTACTAAGTAGGTAATATTTCCTTGATACTTCAGTTGTAGGCATTTTGTCTGGGCATACTCCTTTACACAAAGGACCAGATCATCAGGTACATCAAAAATACCCCTGTTTAACAGGTCCTGATTCCTTGGAGGGCACCATAAAAACCCCTGTAACTCAGGCCCCTCCTTTTATAAAAACTTAACAGTTTTTATTATTTCTTTTCTTAATATCAATTATCTCCCCATCCCAAGTGTTACCCACACTTGTACACATTTTTTCTTAGCTTTGCACCTGGTGTAGCTAGAAGAGTCTAGCTCTTGGCATCACCCAGGCTGACAGCCCTCATCCCTACCCACCTGTAAGCCCAAGTTTGTCTTCATTACTATCTCCCACCTCTCTGCCTTGAACACTCAGATTTGAGACCTGTGCTGTATGGCCGGAAGTGTGGTGTACTAGTCAGCTGATGGCTATATTGTGGGGCCATTGGAAACCAGGCGGACTAGTCAGGGGAACAATGGCTCCTGCAGTTTGAAGCAGGATTTCACAGGGGGGTTGGTCCAAGCAGCTAATGTGGTTTATCCATGTCTGATTGCAGTTACAATGGCCGAAAAAACAGATGTTCACCCTTTGAAAGGAATTGACTACTCGGAGAAAGATATTGGTGTCCTTGTTCGACAACTCTGCAAGAATCTCAACCAGCAACACAGCCAGTGCCTGACAGAAGTGGTTGACTTTGACTTACAAGCAGTCTTCTTAATGCAGGAGATAGGTCCCCATCACCGTATCCGATCAATTGTCAAGATGGTCCTCAAACAATTTGATATCAATACCCAGCCCCCCAAAACCCCAAAGAAGAGATCCCCCAGCAGTGCTCCACCACAAAACATGCTCCAACAACAACTTCTAGATGCAGCCAAACAGGTCCAAAAAACCATTGACACCTTCGACAACAACACTTCCTCCAGAAAACCATTTTGCCTCCAATTTCCGTCATACAAACATGTGCTTCAAAACGCCATCTCCATGCAAGACAAGTGTCAAAAATTGCCAACCAACCGAATGGTGGTCCTACTAGATGAGGCTGGTATTTGTGTAGGGGTGGTTGTGCCACCCTTTCCAAAGACCCCTGGGAAACACCATCCAGAGGCGGATGTAAGCCCTTGCCATTTTCAAAGATGTAGTTTCAACTTGAACTGATAACCAAAGATGATGTGTGCCCAGGACTGCGCATGCCAAGCACTCAACAAAACAGTCTTAACTTCCTCTTGGAATACAAATGAAGATGAGGTTCAATATTCTTCCACCCCCCTGGATCCTCATCCTAGGAGCCCATTTCCACTTGGGAAATCCAACAAGGGTGAAAGTCGTACTCCCAAGGGGGGGGGGGATACAAAGACGTCGATGTCCTTTCAGACTTATGGATTTGGCCTAGGAGATGTGAGTTATTTCCAGCCATTACCTAACAGTCAAGGAGTGGATTGCTTAAAACTTTTACAATGCCCAGACCAAATCCAAAGGCATGAATGACCTCAAGATTCCGATCTTGAAAAACCAGATCAACACCGCAAAACTTCAAGGCTACAGTAATTCTTGGAAGAACGTGCCATTTACCCCTTCACTCCAAATCACTACGCAAAGTCAAATATACAAGACCCAAGCAAGGGTACATCTACAAAACGAGATCAAATTCTACTCGAAGTTGTCCTTATGGATCAACAAGTCTTTCTTGCCTGCATCAACAAAAATCACTGAACAAGGAGTTCAATACCTCATGTCTTCGGATTCAGATCTTCTACGCAAGAATTTGGCCAAGGAGAACAATCAAATTATTGCTTGTTAGTGTTATCTGACCTTTTCAACTGATGCTATGCTTATTTACTACTTATCTTTAATTGTAGCCCAAACAATCAGTGTGAACACACAAGTACAAACTCACCGAGACAGGAAAAATGCCTTTCTGTTTGATTCGAGTTGTTTCTTTGGTAACCATCTTGGTGGGGAATTTCTTCTCCCATCTTTAGGTGCAGCATATCCGGGCTTAAATGGGTATTCATTCCATGGGCCTCTTTGAATCCTCTCCCATGGAGTTGCCAAGTTCTACTTCCCTGATGATTTAAAAGAGCCCCCAAGAAGATATTCAGTTGCCTTTTGGGGTCGTGCCAGTTCCTTTGCGGCTATTTCAAAGCACTCTGCACATGATGGAGGCAATGAGGTATGTTAAAATTCATTTGGAATGATAGTCACACAAATCTGATGGATCAAAGGATGTTTTTAGGTTTTCAGCAATCACAAATTTTGGATTCCAATCTATCCAAAATACAATGCATCTTCTGTTAAGGAGGTTCTATATGACCACTTTCTAAGTTCGAGGGACCGACCTGGAAATTAAAGTGGAGTTAAAAAGACAGAACACAAGCCACCCACTAAAAAACACACAACACATTAGATAGACCCAATAGGGGGTATCAAGTATAACCAAATCCACCATTATTTAATTGACTGGTTTGAAAAAATCCACCCTTTTTTAAACATGTTGGTTCTTCATTTAACCCCATTTGGGGCCCATTGATGCAAAAAAATAATTTTGGAAAAGTGACTGGTTTCTAATGGTGGATTTCCTATATTTGATACCCCCAATATGTACTCATTTCTTTGATTACAATCCATTTACATTCACTTGCTATTGAATTTAAACGTATAAATTTCATCTTTTCCAGTGGCTGAAGTTAGATGAGATGAGAGCAAGCCATTTTTTTCATATTTTATATGTGAGCATGGATGAAGCGACATATTTTAAAGACACAAAAATCTGGGTTCAATTAAGATCCAAGGGGCAAAACCCCTGGAGGTCAAATTAATATCTGGAATGACATATTGGGCTGGGAATTCAAATTTTCTAGGTTATCTCAGAGGAAGGGGAGGGGGGGGGGAACGACTGTGTTTTAAAGAAACAAACCAATCGGGTGAAATTGATTGGTCATCGCAATATGGAAAGCCCCTATCATAATCAGGAACGGAAATCTTGGGCTTGGAATTCAAGTTTTCTAAGTTATATCAGAGGAAGGGAGGGAAAAAAAACGTGTTTTAAATAAACAAACCAACTGGGTGCAATTAATCCGTCATCACATTTTGGAAAGCTCCGCTTTGGATGTCAGCTAGCCACAATTTTCTCTCATCAAATAGCATCCGATCAAAACCTTCAACTAGTATATCTTTGTGGATTAGGGAATCTTCAGACTGTAACATTCTTAAGCGAGGGTTTATTTTGATTAAAGCAGCTGCCGGATCCTTGGTTTTGGGAAATTTACAATTTCTGTCTGGAACCCCGCGGGCAAGCGCTGGAAGAGGAAGGATATTTAAAATTTAGCTTAGCTAGCTCTATGAATGAAATGTAATAAGGAAAATCAATCTCACCAAGGGTCTTGTTGAGAGAAGCCCTGAGATTTATTTTAACCAAATCCGATTCTTTTTTCTTCTTTACTATCTCAACCCCAAGAGCTTCTTCTACTTCTTCTTGTATGGCACGTCCATGGCTATAGTATAGGCCTCGAAACTCTCCTTGGCCTTCCATTTGTCCTTTGCAAGGGTTAGCCAAGCAACATTGTTAGGCCACTCCCTACAAAAACTATTTTCTCCAGGTGATTGGGTTGCAGCTAACAAGTAGTAGGTGGTTTTGTAGAGGGTTGAGGAAATATAAAGCTTTTAAGGATGGAGTCGATGTTTTAGTTTTGAAAACAGTCTTTGATACATATTTGAGAGACAACTTACTTCACAGTTGAGTTTTTGAAAAGACTTGTATGCTTGCTTAGATACCTCGCCACTTTTGTTGGAAGAATCCGGTCCTTTGGTATTAATAAGCTTGACTTTCTCGTGGTTGACTAATTTTTTGTAAAGAGGTCAATAAAAATCGTTTTCCTCCGGAGTGAGCTCTACTGGATCCTCTTCATCTTCTTCCAAGTTGTGATGGCAGGGAATCTCGGAGAAGAATTGAAAAATTGGGGGGCTGAAAACTGCCTTTTCCTCTACCAAAAGGGAGGACCACGCTTCACCAAGGTGAACATTCCTTTCTTCCCATCCTAAAGAGCATCCTTTTGGAGGGACTTAAGTTTAAATATATCAGTGTTGGCCAGGCCAATATGGAATTGAAATCGTAGATAGTATAAAACAATTCACCTTGGGTGTTGGCACTCTCAAGGCTGAAAGCAACATACCTATTCCAGTCACTCTTTTGTTGGAATGGTTTATCCTCGCCACTGGGGAAAAAATCAGTACTTTAATTCAAATATTCACATAAAACAAAAAGGCTCACAGAAATTTATTAACAGTGGCTTCGCTGACATTGCCAATCAGAGCCAACATCAGTTTGCTTTTGATGTAATTCTGCTGGAGCAAAGAGATGGTGTCTTGAATGTTTGGATGAAGGCGATTAGAATTGCTTTCCTTCTTTTTTTGAAGGGTTTGTCAAAGTTGGTGTATGGACCAGTTTTGGAGTTGGGTGTTGAAGTTTTCCAGAGTAATCTCCACCTGTTTGTTTGAGGAGAAGAGTTTTCCTGTTCTTTGTCTTCGCTATCGTCCTCTACACGGTGGTGGTTCGACCTCTTCTTGGGAGCTCGGGTATTTACAGCTTGTCGGTCTTTTGTATTTTGGGTGATTTTACGGGTGGTTTGAGTATTTCTAGATCTAAGGTTGGAAGGTTGAGATTTGGAAGAACGTGTTGGAGCCATTTGAGCTGTATTCGGAGGTGATTTGGTGTTGAGCTGTATTCGGAGGTGATTTGGTGTTGAGCTGGAAGCTACTTAGTTTTGAGCCGGATGAGTTGGTGTTATGTTGAGCTGGATGAGTTGGTGATTTGTTTTTGAGCTGGGTGAGTTGGTTACTTGTGTTAGGTTAAAATGGGAGGGATTGTTGCGGTGGAGCATGTGGGTTAGGTTTTTGGCTTTAATTGGCCCCTGAGGGATACACAGGTATAAAATTAGGCCCAGCTCAAGGCCCATCTCAAATTTGATTTGAGTTGGTTAACTGGACTGGGGCTTTTTCAAGCCCTGGTGAGCAGCTAGATTTGACCCTCACATGAACTGGTGGAGCTTTTTACAGTCTTCCATGTTAAAACTTGCTTGGTTCCTTCCCCCACATCAGCTGAGTGAGCTGATACTAGTATATTTGGTATTTCAACCAGCCATTTGAGCTGAATAATCTGTGTGGTGAGCTGGATGAGCCAGCTGCCAACCTGCTATATGAGCTGGATGGATGAGCTGGCTGACAACCTCCTACATGAGCTGGAAAAGCTGGGTTTTGACCTTCTGCGTGAGCTGTGTGAGCTGGTATATGTACCCTCCATGTGAGCTGGATGAGCTGGCTGCCAACCTTCTATATGAGCTGGATGAGCTGAGTTTGATCATTGTAGGTAAGCTGGATGAGCTGGGTTTTAACCTTCTGCATGAGATGTGTGAGCTGGTATATGTAGCCTTAATGTAAGCTGGATGAGCTGTATGCTAACCTGCTACATGAGCTGGATGAGCTAGCTGACAAACTCATACATGAGCTGGATGAGCTGGGTTTTGACCTTCTGGGTGAGCTGTGTGAGCTGGTATATGTACCCTCCATGTGAGCTGGCTGCCAACCTGCTATATGAGCTGGATGAGCTGGGTTTGATCATTGTGGGTGAGCAGGATGAGCTGGAATTGAACCTTCTGCGTGAGCTGTGTGAGCTGTACATGTACCCTCCATGTGAGCTGGATGAGCTGGCTGCCAATCTGATACATGGGCTGTGTGAGCTGGCTGACAACCTCCTACATGAGCTGTGTGAGCTGCATATAGCCTTTATTTTTGTGGTATACCGAGCTGCTGAGCTGGATTTGAAATGGGCTCATCCAGCTCTGCACCGCATTTGGTCCCAAACCCAAAGATTTGGCCCTTATTAATCTTCGGTTTGGAACCGAAGAATCTAGTTGACAAAACTCCTCAATTCAATTTTCCAGGAGGATTCTTTGGCCGTTTGGGAGTCACAAGAAGGACACAAAAGATTGAGTATTGATGGCTGCTGACAATGATTAAGATGGGTCAATTTCTGAACACAAAAATCCTGAAGATCAAATCAGAGTGTAAGCTTTGATGAAAGTCTTTCATATCATGAATTATCATAGAGCTGTTGAGCTGCTGATTAGATTTCTTCATTTCATCCTAGGCTTCCTTGCGGACGCCAGGATAATTCCCCCATCTCAGAAGATGATGATTCAAGTGATGAGAAATCAGTGTACGGAGCAGATCTCAATGACAATCAGGTACCTAGGCCCAAACAAAAAATCTCAATACTATTGCGGCTTGTACTCAACCATGCAGCACAGAGCTGCATATCCTCTTCAATAGACCACTTTGGGGCTTTTTCATTTTTGTTGTGTGCCTCTGTTGAAGGACCTGGTTGAGTCACCAAGGCTGTTGGGGTTGCATTGGGATCTGGTTGAGTTATTGGCATTGTTTGAGTTGTTGCAGTTGGTGTGATGGGAGGCATCAATGATAGAAGTGGATCAAGGACCACAGTTTTGGGAGGCATGATCTTATATGGTGTATCAAGCCCATCTGGGCACACCAAAGTTTGGCGGAAAAAAAGCCAAGCGCACTGGGCCGATCCCAAAGCCGGATCCTCAAGCGTACATGGCACCATCCCAACCCCCGCTTGGCACATGCTAAAGTTGGTGGGGGTCAGGAGAAAGCCTTGCTTGGCCTATATCAAGCAAGGGTTCCATGCCTGCCAATATTCCAGCCCCAAGAAGGCCAGCTGCTGAGTTGTGTCCCAGGACCAAGCTTGTGCACAGGGGCACCTGAGCTACCAATTGGCCCAGTGGGACTTGGCTATGTGCCAAGTCCTGCCCCTCAACTATCCTGTCCAATCAAGCCCTCTGGGCCCAATCCAAACCCCCGGTGGCACTTGGCAACGCGGGACTTGAGATTGTGCTCAGACAGGCTTGCAAGACCATATATATCTGGGAAGGTGGGTGTTGATATCATTAAAAAAAGAATTTTGGACAACAAGCAGACCAAGAGGTGGTTGTAGCAGCTTGGAGGATGTGATGCCAAATCTGCCAAAAGTAGCAGCCCAGGGCAGCTTTGGTCCACCCCCACAACAATCAGCAGCGCCAATAGAGGCAAAAATAGCCTTGTGGCCTGCTGAGGTTGGTCCCAGGTCCCGCATTGGCAGGACCACTGGCAATGCTCTTAAAAACTACCTTCTAACCACCACCCATGTCCTCCAGGACAGTAAGGGCACATTCCATTACTTCTGTTCATTTCTTTTCACTCCTTGTCTTGGGGATTGTAAGACCCTGTGTTGTTCTGTATGGGCGGATAGCCTCACTATCCGCCAGCTTCTATTCAGGACCGCTGACAATGCTCTTAACAACTACCTTATAGCCACCACCCATGTCCTCCAGGACAGCGGGGCACATTCCATAACTTCTGTCCATTTCTTGTTACTCCTTGTCTTGGGGCTTGTTAGCCCCTGTGTTGTTCTGTACGGGCGTATAGCCTCACTATCTGCCAGCTTCTATTTCTTCCTTCTCAGGTTTCACATGCCTCAGGGTTTTAAACCCAAGGCTTGCACACTGTCTTTTCTCTTCTCCCTTATAGTCATTCCAGCGGGGTATAAATAGACCCTGCCTTGGTCAATTGTTTTCCTTTTGTTCACTCATGCAGATAGCTTGAATTACATAAGAGCATCCGTATCGGTGGCTAATTCCGCGCGAGCTAAGGACGTTAGCCGCAAAATTCAACCACACCGAGCTGAGCTAAAGTCATGTCAAACTAGCTTGTGGCTCCGATTCGAGCTAACCGTTGCTAGATCTAGCAACGGTTAGCTCGCAAGCAAGCTAAAAGCAAACACCCGTGCATGTGCTCCAATTTGGTGCCCTCCCGCAAATATTACACACCTCGACTTCAAACGATCAATCACAACTTCAACCTCAAGCCACACCGGTGCGACTGAATCATTGTCGCTATTGTAGCTTAGCGATAGCTTCGAGCTTAGATCAATTGCTTTTAGCTCAACCAGTAAAGATGCTCTAAGAAATCCAACCTTTCTTGCACTCTATTGCAGCTTCACACAGCTTTCACATAGTCCCCTGAGACCTGTACACCGCGGTTGCAGTGGAATGGCCCCGTGACAGCCCAGGGTGAGTCAAACTGGGGACGGACAGAAAAGTTTTTTTGAGCATCCCAGTGACGCGCCCATCCAACAAAACCATGCCGCCCCGGAGACAGCAGTAAATACCAGCGCTAGGCTACCCGTCCGCACATCCCCATGACAGCCAAGTCCCGCCAAGGTGCTGCCCTATCCTCACAGGGATGCCTACCGTGCAGACCTGGTCTACCCAGGGCTTCCAGCCCCCAGCCGGTCTTCCTTAGTAGGACATTCCCTTGCCGTCCGCAAACCACACTTGCAAAATCTTGGGGCTTCAAATGCCTTCTCCTCCAGGACACGCGCTGCCTGGGGAATTGGGATATATATATTTACAGTGGAATGTGAATTTGCACAATAGAAACGCCTGACATGGAAACACATCTCTGGCCATAACACTCACATCTATGTACACAGGTTTCTGGGTGTGTGATACACGGGGATGATGCAAAGGAAAAGAAAAACTGGAACTGAGAAACCGAGAACAAAAAGAAAGACTTTGCATTTGCAGCAGGTTGCGGCGGTTGTGCAACACCAATCCTGATCGGGGTGGGGCAACACTAAATTACACATCATTCAAAGTTTCCTTGATGGTGCCTTTGTTGTTTGCGGCTGTCAGAGTCATTTGTTCCTGGATTTCTTCCTCCGTAGGCAGTTGGATTGTAGCTGGTTCCATGGTGGCAAAGAGCTCACCCCCAAAAATTGAACGATCCATTCTCAAAATCAAAAGGTAGAAACTGGGTCGGGTAGCTGTTCAGATAAGGCCACATACAACAGACATGGGACTACAGCAAAAGACGACTTACGCGGAGCAATATTCCCTGCCCTTCAATTCAAGCTCTTGCAAGTGTGAATCAATCCTCTTCCATTGGCGGCCCGCGTCTCCCACACCTCTTCCATACAGTTGGATGATTGTCTGGAATTGCAGGTATGCTAACCTCACCTTCAGGTGAGACTGATTCCTTGAACCTCTTGATCTTTGGTCCTCGGGCCGATTATCACGGTCGTTACTATTTGCGGGTGCCGGGAGGAAACTTGCCTTCATCTAAGTGGAAAACCCGGCATCCAAAGCTCAGTATTCGCACACCTCAACATGGATCGAAATCCAAACTTACCGCCACCAGTAACCTTGAGATGGTCGGAACGGGTGGGCTAACATCACCCTCCGGTGCAGTTATAATTTTGGTCAAGAGCTACACGACACCAAAAAAGGAGGTAAGTATGTTATACACTTCCAAACCTTCAGTCTCATCTGTCCCCACACACCAAGTTGCACATCTTCCCTCGGCTGTTTCTCAGTTTCCCTCTGACTAGTTTTTCAACACTCCTCAAGGCCGCAGGGTCGCCGTCGACGTACCCAGGTGGAAGGTAGGTCTCTTGGAATGGAGCAGGTTGTATGTTGATGTGATCCTATTTGTGATTGTTCAGCTCGCCCCAAAATGCCACCATGTCCTTTGATATGCTTGGAACACTCACCAATACAAGTGTCAACACACTCTTGACATTGGCGGGTGAACCTCGGGGAACGTCGGAACCGTACACCTTCAGGTTCTTGCTGAATAGGAGTTCGCGGGCGGCCCGTTTGACAAAATCCTAAAGGAATCCTATGTGTGGTAAGCTGTGTGGTGAACCGACTTCAGATCTCAAATGGCGGATCACTCACCTTGAACACTGTGGAGTAGTGATGAGCCCGGGACGGAAGGGCAGTTGGAATGACAGCCGAGGGTGCTGGGGGTTGGGGACCAATGGGACCCTTGCGAGACAGCCGATCAATTGCTTGTAGGATGGCCACTTGGCCATAGAGATTAATTGCAAATTGACGTTGCGGGGGCGCCTAGTTACCCGTCACAAAAGGTAGTGTCAGTTCATGTTAAACACAAATTGGGTCAAAGAACTTACATAGACCAATGCCTCACCCAAACTGGCATACCCCCTCCTAAGTTCAAACATCACCTCGAGCTGCCCTGCATACTCGTCATCTACTGGCTCATCTTGATGCACCATCTCGTCGTAGTGATGATGTGGAAAATCGAGTTGACTCCTGCCTGGAACATTGTTTGTAGGGGTGATTCTGTTTAGGGTGGGGTTGTGCCCTGGTTCCCAACTGTGGTTGCTGCATTCAAAGATATACGAGCTAGCTGACGGTGGTCAGTAAATCGCCGAAAGAGTTTAATTTTGGTGTCAAGAGAGCGCATAAGTACACACCCGGTCGAGGAGCGGCCCTGGTGGCGGCAAGACTCGGATTTGATTGAGACATAGCTGCTGCCCAAACTGATCCCCTCAGAGGAACATTGGGTGGGGGATTTTGTCTCTGATTTCGAGTGTTGGGAGGTCATATTGGCCCCAAGTGAGCATCTCTACGAGTGTGTGACTGTCGGGTGGTGGTGGTTGTGGAATTGTGGGTGGGATCTGGAGACCGGCTCGCTGCACGTGGGTCCAAGTCGCTTTCTGAGGCTGAGGGATCACGCCGGGGAATGCTGGATAAACAATGAGATTGAAACTGATAATCACCAAGGTTGAAATTGGAACCGACAGAATATGGACAGTGAACTGGGTGAATGTTTGGGATGAAGAACAAAAAGGAGACAACAAAACGATCTCACCTGCTGATTATAAGTCGTTTGAGGAAACAGCGGTCCAAATGAAGTGTTTCCCTCTTTGGGGATTCAACCCAGAAAATGTTAAAATCTGGCAAGGCTGCGGTTCCACAAACAGGAGCTCTTCCGCATGCTTGCAGATTCCCAATCGGGATGGCATGTGGACGAGACTTTTCTCCTTGTGATTGAGACAGCACACATGATTGCAAGCAATTGAGGCACTGGGCAATGATGTTTGCTGCTTGTGAACACGTCCGGTCACCCAACACTGCAAAGTAATTGACGCACCAACCAAATAAGTCAAACTTGGCCATCGGGTGTGTGTTCCCCACAGGAATCCATTGTTGATTGTGGTTCGTGGCTTTGCAATTTATGCATTTAACCCTCAAAAGTTCCCTTGTGTGGACAGACTACGATTGTACTTCCATCTTGGGGTAGGTTATCCATTTTCTCAAGTTCCTTTGGGAAGGTGTCCGAGCAGCATCTGTTGGTTTTACGATTTGAGGTTGACTGTTCACTGCATTCAAGGTATTTGGACTTTGGGCTAATGTGTTGAGGCAAAAGGAATGACCTCAGATTGATCAAGATTAATTCTTTTTTTAAATTCCGAGTCAGCTTCAAAGTACCATCTTAGCTATTCCGATAATATCAATGGGACGCAAAGCAAAGAAGCCATCCAAGCTTGAACTGGACCCGGGTGAGAGAGTCTGGAATTTCGGAGACATGCATAGTTTTTTGCTAAAATTGATAACCAATGATTGACCAATGTGTGTACATGTTTATCTGAAATTCTTTGGTGTAGATGTGTGGGTACTTGAGGCGACCTCCCCAAAAAGCATCTACTCTTGTTCGGCATGTCACTCAAGAGGCATGGTTGAAGAGTCTTTCCGAAGGCATCTCAAGTCTGAAAAACATCAGTCGAGTGTGGTGGCATTCCAAGCTTCCTGAGCAGCGGCTATTGCGAACCGATCAAACGCAGAAGGATTGAGGGGAACTCACATTCCGGCCAGTGACACACGGGAGCCTGAGGTTTTGTTGAGTAGGGAGGTGCCCTCACCGCCTGAAGTCACAACTTGGGTTGCATGGACAGGTCTACGAAATGAACAAGCGGACATGGACGATGGGGAAAATGACAAAGATTGGATGAGTGCAAGGTCCATGACAAGCGATGAATATTCCAGTGACGCAGGGGGGGACACAGAATCTGAGTCTCACCTTTCCGAGTATAACTCAAACAATGAGGAATGGGAGATTCCAGATCAATTTCATGAACAACCAGGGGACCTTCCGGAAGACAAAACCAAAAAACGAGGTTGGCACCGCCAGGTCAACAACCCATGGTGGCCATTCTGATCTAAAGAGGTAAGATCATGTGCCCCCAGCAAAATTACATCAATGCCGGTTTGACACTGACAATTGACAATTGATCATAGTATTTGGTAGCATTGCTTTTGATTGGCTAAACTCACTCTATTGTGTCTCGGACTCTTTATAATCACATCCGCTTAATGTTCAAACTCTTTGACATTGTTCTTCCCAACTGGACAACAATCAGACGTGAAAAGAAGAAACTCAGAGGCCTTCTCAGTTCAAATGTTGTTCCCAGCATGTCAATCTTCAAAACCCCCACTTATAGGCTGAGCTTGGCAAATATAATTGCTCAGGAGGTCGCAAACCCATTCGTTAGCCCAGTTATTGAGTATTTCCCGCAAGAGGCCGACGGGAGGGGCGTCTATAAACTATCTCAGTCCAAAAAATGGCTGGAAGGCTTTGAGCCAACCTCGAGGGCCCCGATGTGCCGGAACAACGGAAGGGACTGGTTTCTGTTTGAGCCTGTCCAACTAAATACGGATGAAATCGTAGTCCCAGTGTTCTTCTTCATGAGGGGAACCGTGATGTTTGCCAAATGTGTCAAGCCCAATTTCCATTCCATTGGCAATGGATCCGAAATTTGAATCAGCTTCCCTTCTGATGTGGAATTTGCTTCAGATAATTTGGAAACGGTCAAGGTATCCGATTTTGAATATGACTGTCTTGAAGTCATTGGGACAAATGGCCGGTTACTTTCCACACAATGCCGCAACTCCATTTTTGGTGAGTTGCTTCTCAATCTAAGATGGATGTATTCAAACATTCATTTTGTGTTATTCCAAATATTAGGATTGGGAAATCAGGTGACCACTTGGCATCATCTTCCAAATCCGTGGCGCAAGAAAGAAAACGGTAGGCCCATCAGACATGTGCCTATCAATTTGTACTGTGATGACACCTCAGGAAACGTTTCAAAGGGTGGAACAAGCACATATCGTACTATTTCACTCTTTCTGGCCTCCCACCAACTTGGACGAACCAGAATTACAATTGTCACTATCTTTCCACATCAAATGAAGCAGGGGCAATGGAGTTAGCTGGCCCTATAGTTTCAGACCTCAAGTAAGCCAGAGTTCAACTGAATCCCTAGTTGAAACGTCCACAAAGAAGACCCAACACAAAGTGCTGACCACATATCATATTAGAGCAATGGCCGCCGAAGGCTACCCTGCCTATGATTGTACCATTAATGAGGAGGTTCTGGTTGTATCAACTATCCTGTCCTTCTTAGGCGACTCACCCATGCATGCCGAGATAACCAGTACACCAATTCCAGGAAATTCTTTGCACCCATGCCGGGCCTGTCCCCTTTCTTCCGTCAGTGTAAAGGCCAAAGCCACTCTGGATTATGTGAAAAGGTTTCTGATGATAGGGCCATCAGGCTCATGGGTCCGTTTGAATAAACTGTAACAATCAGTGAAACAACTTTGTCATTGACGTGTCTCTTGCCATCATCATATGCAGATCTCGAATCCAACTAGGTCGTGGCAGAAGATTAAGACCCGGTGCTACGAAACATGGGTGATGGCACAAAAGCCTCGAACTAAGACAAAAGTTGGTGAGCAGGTGACGAAACATGGTATTAAAGATATAATAAACACAGAAATCATAGACAAGAGGTATGAAATCTTGGAAGCCAAGGAGAGCGCGTCTGACTCGGATAAGGCCTTTCTGGAGATGTTAAAAAAAAGGAATCAGGAAGAAATAGATGAATTGTTTAATCCACTATTTCAAGTGCCAGGTGTGTTTCCCTCACTAACCCAGTGACAGCAATGTGGAGCATTCACAATCTTTGGTGACACTATATTTTGATTGGGTCCACAGGCTTTGATGGGTGCCAGGACACCCCAGTTGAGGTCCTGCATGTGTTTTTACTGGGGGTGGTAAAGTACCTGGTGCGGCATTTCATGCGCCGCTTGGATGGAGATGACAGATACCTGGTGGCTGCTCGATATCGCTCATTTGACATTGATGGACTCAATGTCTCCCCACTCCAGGCAGAATATCTGACCAGGCACTTTGCGAACTTTATAGGAAAGGACTTTTGAATTGTTCTGCAGGCCGCTCCTTTTGTGCTGTTTGAATACATGGATGACACAGAAAGGGAACTCTGGTCTGCACTGTGCAAGCTGGCCCCATTAATTTTTCAAACCAGGATTGACAATATGGCCATGTTTCAATTGCAACTAAATCATCACATTCGGCAATTTTTATATCTACTGATCAAACGAACCGCTCAATGGGTAAATAAGCCCAAAGTTCACATGCTTTTGCATCTTGCAGAATCAATTCTCCGATTTGGTCCGGCCTGCTTGTTTGCAACTGAAAAATTTGAAGGCTATAACAGTGTTTTGCGAAATGCGTCGGTCCACTCAAACCGGCACAGTCCGGGTCAAGACATTGGCAACACTTTTGTTGATTACCACAACCTGCGTCACCTAACGTCTGGCGGGCGATTCTTTGACAAAAAGCGAAAAGAATATTGTGCTGCGGGCCCGTCAGTTTCCGAGGTGTTCAACAATACATCAGTTCAACGATCAATGGGATTTAATCCAATGATAATTGGTGAATCCATGGGAGCCTTTCCGCGCGTGAGGCGGTCAAGAGTGCCTCAGGGGGCCAAGGTTCAAGTGCTGCCTGAATTACAGTCACATCTAAGAAATTACTCAATCACACAAATTTCCGAGGTAGACTGGTATATCAAACATGTCATAAGGGGTGGCTCTTTTGTCGTGGTGAGTGAATTTGATCATGGCTTGGCCCACCTGGTGCATGTTAAATTCTTATTGGTACCATTGCTTGATTTGTGATTATTGTCGATGGGGAGTCCACAGTTCCGCTCGCCGGGTGAATCTTCCAACTTGGGGCGGGTGGATCACCTGTGGAAGGGGACACAAGGTAGCCGGGTTGGGCTTTACTTGTGTGTGACTCGGTTCGAACTTGGCAAAGTGGATCAGTTCTACCGGATGCGACAGGTGGCCCAAACACAAGAAAGGTTGTTCATCAGTGTCAATGTTAGTATTTTCCCTGTCAGATGGTTATTTGGAAAGGCTGTTCATGTCTTCCTGTCAGGATGTTTGTTCAAAATTGAATTTACAGCACAATTGCCACCGGGGCGGGTGCCGGATCAACGATACCATAGAAGCTCGCCTGGAACGGCAGGCAACAGGCCAGTTTGTGGCTGAGGTGGCACATGCCAATTCTGATAACTATGTGGTCAATCTGGCGGCTCTATCCTCTAACACAGCTCACCACAATTATTCGGACTTGCCATTAGAGCCTTTGGAGGGGCACCAACAGCTATCGGGGCTACACGAAGGCTTGGCTAGATGGCGGGATGCAGGAGGGGCAACAGGGCCGCCCGGGCCTATATTTGCGATAGACCCCATGTTGGGTATTTGAGTGGCCGGTGCTTGTTATGTAGTTATGTTGGGTGTTTTTGAGGTTTATGACTTGGTTGAAATTGCATGCAATAGCTCGCGATAATTGAAAGAACACTAGCGGGGTACTGTGCCAGATGCATGGCCAGGGGCAGCCGTAAATTATAATGGCAGGTTCAGGAGCATGTGCAACCTTGGTTACCTGAGTGGCTTTCCCATCCAAACGCTGGGAGGGATCTGGCCTGAGCTGGGCTTCTGACCCCCAGGGGACGGCGAGGAACCGTTGCAGTGTCGCCACCTGGAGGTGAGGGTAGCGAATTGCTGCTGTAGCCGTTGGATCAGCGGTGGGCCGTTGTGGTGGCGGCCTCGCCGAGGCAGGACGGCGCGGCGCTGTTTGTCTCTTGTTGGGGACAGCAGGAAGCCATGGGTGTCCCAGGGCCACACTTACACCACAGGTTCCGAGCCACCTTGGCTTGTCGTCAAACTTCAGGTCAAGCCAACCTGCGCGACTCCGCCCAGAAAAATGGCCTGACTCACAGCGGGAGGAGTCGGGTCAGGCTGTCCGCCTGACCTGTCACGTGGGCCTGGCGTAGTAGGCGCACGTTGACATGCCCTCCACGCTGGCCTGACGCAAGGGAGTGTCATTGGCTTGACCTCCTCTGTGGACATGACATCGGCCAGTTTCCCTCGGCTTGACCTGCGACGAGGGCCCGATGTTGGGTGGGCTGTGTCAAGCCAACATGAATTCCCACGATGGCTTGTCAGGAAGATGCCAACGAGGTTCATGACCTGAGCTTTGCATCGGGAGAACCCCCACGTTGGACGCTTGGCAGGATGAGGAAAAAAAATGATCCGACGGGTCACGGAAATTCCCACCGGATTATTATAAATAATAATTGTTGCTTGGGCGGATTCTGATCCGCTGATTCGCTGTTTTTCTTTGCACATGGTTAAAATCCAATTAGATTTTTTTATGAAATAATATACATAGCTGGATTCTGAAATATGTACATGATTTATTATTACAATACAGATGCAATGGAATCGATGATTTTTTTACTGGACAGGTATGAGAGATGGGAGGTGAGGGAGAACAGAGAAGAGCAACAGCCGTTGCTGCATTCCTACCTAGCGGGTTGATTGTGAAGAAGAAGCCATGGAGGCTCAAACATCATGGAGAGTGGGGACAACAAGCGCATCCCTCAATTCTTCAAGGATCAGTTTGAATCTCTTCTTGTGGGAGAACATCTCGTCATCTTTCAGGAAGACAAGGTGTGCGTGCCTGCAGGATTAGCTGACAGTCAGTAATTCAGGCAAGATGAGAAGAGAGTGATTCAACTTACGCTTGTTGGAATCTTTCGATGAAGTTCGAAGGAATCACAATCTTTCGTCGATTTCGACCCACTGTGATGGCTTGTTTGGCATGTGAACATAGTAATAGACCATTACTAGCCTTGCATAGACCATTCGAATTCGCATCGGAGCATTCGTAGTAACTTGAGTCTTGATCTGTGTTTTGGACATCTTTTCGTTGTTTGGTGGGAGATTGGCATAAATCTACATAAATACCCAACAGTAAGAACTAAGTTGATTTGAATGAAAGAAGTCAATTTCAGTGCACTACTTACGGAAGCAAGCATACTGTCTCGGTCAGGAACATCCCCCTTGATCAAAATCCTTTGGGTCTCGAGAACATTTGAGAGAAGCTGTCAAAAAGCATTTGATTAAATTTAGGTTGAACCAATGCGACAATTCTGAAGACTTGCCAGTTCACGAAGATGACTTTGTTGATACTTGAGAAGTGTGCCAATGAAGGTTCGATGGACTTCAAGAGCAGCCGAGTCTCCTTGAATCACAGCTGGGGGGAGGTGATCCTCCTTCCAGTCATCGGACTTCTTCTCAAGAGCATCCTTTGGGGTATGGCAGCAAGGAAGTGAGAAACCAAAAATGGTGTCAATCGGAAGTGAGAAAGAAGGAAAAATAATGAGCAACTTACCAGGGTGAGATAGTATAATGATTTTGAAAGAGTCCCGTCTTTGTGGGGGTTGTTTGAGTATGCCTCAAGGCTGGGGATGAGTAAAAACATCCGAGCTTTCATCCTGACAAAATCCTGAGTTTTCCGATAGGAAATCAAGAAAAAAATGATTAGTGTGTCAATGGATATCAGTCAAGCAAAGTAGTTCGTTACCTTCAATGCATCATTGTATGCATGCACAACCGGACTGTTGTGCTTTTCTGCATCAAGCTGATGGAATGCAGCATTAGCAAAGACTACGTTTGCATGTCTTTCTTCCGGGGGGCACTGTGTTTTAGTTTGATGAGGACAAGTTCAAGAGTTAATGAAGTGAGAGACAACCAATTGATTTTGAATGAAGAAAGAGGTGACCGTGAGAGAGAGGAACAGAAATGGACGGACCTTGCTAGTAAGAAGGGCGATCTTCAAATGATTGGCATCGAGTGCAAGCTTTTTTTGTAGATCTGCACAAACACGGTCGGTCTGGTCATGTTCAGGCGAAACCAAATCTGGTCGATTGGTCATGGTGACATCATCGACTGGTGCATCTCCAAACAATTGTCGGTGATTTGCCACCTCTAAATCCTCCTCTGAGTCGTGAGTGTTGCCTTCGGGTTGGGAAGAAGATCGAGATGATTGACCATAACCTTGTGGAAATTTTATAGTTGAATCATCATTATTACCATAGATGATTTGATCCATCTTTGTTGAAGTGAGAGGATGGTCAATCAGCTGGCAAAAAGAAAAGTGGAAGGAGGGTGATTGAGATGACTGAACTTGGATTGAGAGTCAAGACCAAGGAAGAACGAGAAACAGTGGTGAGGAAATGGATGTTAACGAGATTGATCAATCAATCAGAGATGCAGGGAGATGATGACTTTTTGGGAGTGGATGGGTGCAGCGGTGGGCCGCTACACTACGCTACGCTTTTGGCCCAAAAAGCATAGCGTAGCGGCGCTTTTTTTGCGCCAAGTTTTCGTAGTGTTAGCGCTTTTGTAGCGCATTTTCGCTACGCTACGCTGCGCTACAGCGCTTTTAGCGGAAAAAGCGGCTAAAAACCGCTAAAAACGGCTGTAGCGCAGTGTAGTGGGCCCTTTTTTGTGGCCCACACGCGTAGCGTTAGCGGTGTCGTGGCGGAATTCCGCTACGCTACGCTTAACGCTAACGGGAATTCCGCTGCGTTACGCTACACTAACCGCTATGGTTAGTGTAGCGGCCCACCGTTGATGGGTGGGATCGGAGACAAGATGGGTCATGAGGATGGCTTTTTAAGTCGTCATGCTGTAAAGGGCAAAAAATCAAGTAAAAATTGGTAAGGGACAACGGTCAAAAAAAAAACTCATCAAGAACAATCAATCCGCAAAGTCCTGACAAGACCAAGAAACACCGGACAAGCACCCGAACTGAAAAAAGTCATCATGGAAAATCGCACAATGGATATGGACTACAAGTGTGCGCCCTTTTTTTTTGGAGACAAGATTAATAAAATTCCATGCTGACTTGGTGATTGCAAGTAAAAGATTTTATTCAGAAAAACACAACGAAGGGACTGGCTTACCGGTGTTGGCTTTGTAAAGGCCAGAGCACAAAAAATCGTAATTGACATTGCCACAACAAGCGACACCAAGACCTTGTGCAAGCGGAAAAAGAGAGGCGTGATCGATTAGCTTCTCGAAGGGCCGCCATCAAAGTATCAAATTGAGATAGGTTTGTAGTTAACGAGGATATCAGTCTAATAGAGTCACTGGTCGGCAATAATCACGAGAATGGTGTCGTTCAGTCAGAGACAGACGGAATTGAAGAGGTCCACAAAACAAACACAGTTCCGCTGGATGTTTTCGAGGAGGAACCAGATGAAGAAGATAACGACAACGTTGAGCTTGCCTGGTTGCATTTCCTTGAGTTAGCCATTGGCCAGATTTCCTCCGAGCCAGAGGATCGTTCCAATGAGGCTTCATTGCCATCGTTCCATGACGAGGAGATAAACATTCAAGACATTACTCCGGATAAATCAGTTTGGTTTCCTTTCCCAAGTAAAGAGGTGAGCTCAGATTGATATCATACAGAAAAAAAAAGAACAAAACTGAATAGATCACTGACACTTACCTTTGGTGATCCTCGAAGTACCTGATTGGATTGTTGTTGATAGGATACTTGCATAAGTTGATCTCGCGAGACCTGTACCACCAAATTCGCATAATCTTCATGTTATACACCATCAAGCTACCCTGTTGGGAGGCCTTACAAATAATGCGAGTGAAGATACGTTCGATGAGCAACCATTCTGTGATTAAGAGGCAATCGGTCTTTGATCAGCCTATTTTTGCGCTGGATGCTAAGGAATTAATATCAGATGTGAGTACTTACTTGGCCATGGTTTCTTTGGGATTTATCTAAACAGCTGACTTGAACTTCATACCGCTTTTTGTAGGATTTGATGAATCCATTGGTAGAGCCGCACCTTGAGTTTGTACCGGAGGATGCAAATGGAAAGAATATATACAAGCTTTCCCAGTCAACAAAGTGGCTCAAGCACTCTGAATCTGATCTCCGGGTACAAATGGTTGAATCAAATAAGAAACACTTCTACATCTTTGAACCAGTACAATTAGAAGATCATCAAATTAAAATCCCACTCTTCTTCCACACCATAAATGGCAACCTGTTTGCAAAATGCTACACTCCAATCATAAAGTCCAACTCAAATCAGTCTACTGTTGAGATACACATTGCAACCAATCCCAGTCAAATTTCTTTTGATGATGCAAATCTACAAACACTCTCTGTTGAAAAATTCTCCTTGATTTATGAAGAAATCAGGATTAGAAATGGATTGAAACTATCTTCTTGCTGTGGTGACAAGTTATGTATTGGTGAGGGATTATTTGAAAAGAATTATTAAAAATATGCATGTGTACTGATTTGTTTGTCTTTTTTTTGGAATGAACAAATAAAATATCAGATGAGAACAATTCAAAAACTTCCTTGCCAAATCCGTGGAGAAAGAAAGCTGCAGGAAAAATCTTGAGAAATGTTCCCATCAACTTGTACTGTGATGACACATCTGGAAATAAATCTAAAAAATGGAACAAACACATCTCTTATTATTTTACTCTCTCTGGATTACCGCCAAAGATTTCCAATCAGCAATTCAACTGCCACTTCCTTTGCACATCCAACATCGCCGGAGCCTTGGAACTGGGCAACCTGGTTGTTGAACAGTTGAAGTATGATTTTCCATATCACAGTTTATTTTATTTCTGGTAATTTTGCTTATTTTTTTACCCCAGTGACATGTCTAAGAATGGCTTCACGGCATATGATATTACGATTGGTCAAGAAGTCCATGTTATGACCAGCTTGTTGTGTTTTTTAGCAGATTCCCCAATGCATGCTGAGATCACCGACACTCACGTCCCTGGAAATTCTCTCAATTCTTGCCGATATTGCATCTTACGTTCCGCCACTTTGAATGACAGAAAGAAGATTCCTTATATTGCAAAATTTGCACAGAAGAACTTACATGGAGCAAATGTATTGTTTTTGATTTATTTATCATTTTTGTCTCAATATTGTGAAGTGAATTCTCATGACATGTAATATCTTCCCTTTTCTTTTTTGATCTGATCAAACAGTGCCCAAATCAACTTAGAACCATGGAAAAAACAATTGAAAATTCTAAAAAGCTCTGGACGTGCGCCAAGAAGCCTTTCATGAACGTGGAAAAATTGGCTACTGAATCAGCAAAGTTGGCCATTCGTGATCAAATAAATTTGAAATTCTGCAAAGAGTTATTTGCCTTTGAAGCAGAAAAAACCGCAATACTCCAAGAAGGCGAAGAATTACCACATCATATGGATCAAGAAATTCCTCAAAAATTGGTGGATATGGAAGAAAATCAACCAAAAAAAATGTTCAATCAATTTTTGGATTTGAAAGGTACGTGACTGGTTTTTATATTTAACACTTATTTCTGACTTGATTTCTTTTTCTTTTTCACAGGTTTTGACATGGTCATGGATACACCTGTCGAAATATTACACGGTCTTCTGCTTGGACCTGTCAAATATTTGTTTCAAGATTTCATGAAGGGCTTGGATGAAGATCAACAAAAAGAACTGCTGGCTTTATGGAATTCTTTCAACACAGACTCTCTCAATATCCCTTCAATCAGACCAACAAGTATGGTACAATATTCTTCAAGCTTGATTGGTAAAGACTTCAGAATAATTCTTCAAGCCGCTCCCTTCATCTTTTTCCAATTCATGACTCCATCCGACATCAACATCTGGTCTTCTCTCTGTCATCTTGGCTCTTTGATCTTCCAAACTCACATTGAAGATATGGAAACATATATTTCTGATTTGAGTAACCACATTGACATATTCCTAAATCATGTGCTTCAAGACACTGCTCAATGGGTCAATAAAGCCAAATTCCATATGTTACTTCATCTTCCAGAATCTATCCTTCGATTTGGGCCTGCTTCCCTTTTTGCTACTGAAAAATTTGAAAGCTATAATGGTATTCTAAGAAATGCTTCAATTCATTCCAACCGTCAAAGTCCTGGTCAAGATATAGCTATCACATTTAGCAATTATCACTCTTTCCGTCAAATAATGTCTGGAGGTTTCTTCTTTGATGCAAAACAAAAAAAATACATACAGTCTTCACACCTAGTCACCAACATATTTACCCGCAATCTCTTAATCCAGCAAACTCTGGGATATAATCAATCAGCATCCCTCCATAGCATTAGTTATCCATTTGTCAAGAAGCTTTCAGTCTTAAAAATAGATCAAATACCAACTCCTAGGCTGAATACCTCCAGATTTCTTACCCTATGCACAACATCCAACAGATCTCTGAACTCAATTTGAATGAGAAGCAAGTCCTCAAAAAAAATTATTTCATATTGGTACTTATTTCTCACACTCTTTTTCTTTCAGAAGGCATAAATTTTCCTCCTTTGCTCACGTCAAACTTGATTATTTACAGTTCAGTGTTGACCAGCCTCACAGATTTCAACAAATTGGATCAATCAATTCTATCTGGAAGATCCAGAAGCCATTACATCAAAGTAGCTATCTCATTCACACAACTTTGTTTCAAAAGATTGACAAAAGTCCTTTTTACAAGATGAGAGGAATACGGCGGACACCTCACTCAACATTTGTTGACTCACAAGTAAGAATTGTCTCACTTTGGTGCATCATTAATTAATTGGGTTTGCTGATTTAAACGTTTAATCAATAGATTGTTGAAGTTGGTTTGAATGTCCAGCACGACTGTGAACATGGTGAATGTAAACTTGACGAAACTAGGCTTGGAGTTGTTGAAAGGCAGAAGAGTACGAAGAAGTCACTGGAGCTGGTACACACAAACAACGAACGATATATAGTCAATCTAGCATCACCCTCGTCACCTGCTTGGCATGGCAATTTCTCAGACATTTCTGTTAACCCTGCTGCACCACTTCAGTGGGTCAATACATTTCACAATGGATCGAAAAAGTGGGGAGGGGTTCTTGAGGGGAAAAAAACACGAGCAAGGAACAAAAACAGGCCAATGACAACAGAAAGCCTTGATCCAGATTTGGTGTAATGGAAGAGTTGGGTGTGTGATCTAACATTCAATCATTCAGTCATAGATAGAACTAACCGGGAGGACTAGATGACAAAGGGACTAAGCAATCAGCAATTTCAACAGGATTGGTCTTCAGGATGACAGGATCACTTACAATTCAAGTACGACTCTACCCTCATCCCCATGTAGTTCCGGGTGCCCACCAAAGTACAAGTTTTTTTGTTGCGATAACTTTTTCTCAAATAGATTTTACCATTCTTGATGTCCCGACAGGTGTTCAAAGCTTTCTTTGTAATCTGAAGTGACATTGCCATCCGCCTGAATCCTTTTGGTTCGACAGCTGGAAGAGTACAGTGTTTGATGTTCTTTGCCGGCCAAAGTAACTTCACAATTCCTTTTTGCTTGAAATCAATGTAGAATCGGTAATCGGGGAAGACAAATCGGCCGCCAGAAACATTGTAGCCACTTGAAGGGTCCGCAAGCGTGCCGTCAGAGGAATTTGTTGGAACAAAGCGCGCAAAAGCATATTCTGATGCGTCACCTTTGTCAAAGTGAGGAGGATTAAAAAATCCATTCGAAGTAAATGTGATGTGTGGGGCGCAGTCAAGCTTGGAGAGGCTATCATTAAATTTGGCTGAGGCAAAGGATGGGATACCATTTGTCTCCATCAAATCTCGGTTAGACTCGAATGGGATGTCAGCAAAATTCTTGAACATTCGGCCCAGAATGTTGGAGACTCTGAAGGATTTCATGGCGAGGGCGAAGTATTCCGTGCGTGATTGACGAGCTACTCAAAGCTTGATGTAACGACCAAATAGTTCAAGAGCCTTCATACACTTCCGCCACCCGATTCCCCACATCCTGCCTCCCCAAGTGCGAGAAGGGCCAGTTGGATTTACAAATTTCTTTGATTGGTGAAGGAAGGTTGTCACAAAGTTGATTTCTTCTCTCTCGATGGCGGATAGTTTGTTGATCGGGGTGAACTGTATGACAGCAACAACTTTGCCGTGGTTACTGGTATCCCGCACAATAACTTTACCATGATGAAAAGGGTGAAATTTATCAACTATCTTGTTGGCTTCGCAAAGTTCTTCGTCTGTAGGCTTCCGTGATGGTTTTTTCTTTTTGGCATGAATCTTAGGGTAGAGGTGGAGCTTGCGGTATTCGCGGAGGGACCATATTACCTTCTTGCCTTTAAAACCGGATGAATGGATATCAAGCGATACTTGAGAGGTTCTGCTGTCGGAGCGCTTTTTTTGACGAGCCCTAGCCTTCATAGCATTCTTAGGTCGTACAGACTTCGAAATTGTCATTGTACAATGTTCCAACCAAGTCCTTAAACAGATCGGAAGCACTGTATGACAACTTGATAAAAGAAGTTCCTATTGGGGGGGGGGATGAATAACCGATGGAACTGGAACTGCAAAAGTTTTTTGAGGGGCTGGAGGGCAATGCAGACAGAAACACGGTTGAATTGCCATGAGACACTCACAGACTGACAGGTCACGGCATCTTATTCTATTTCAAATTTCAAGCCATGATCACAGCACCCATGGCTTGGAAAGCCATGTCGTCATTGACTTGGTGACAGCAGCTGCCACATTGTCTGTATACACCACATGGGAAACTAGTGCCTGATTTCAAAAAACACCATGGGAAACTGTACCATTTGGCAGCACCGCTATAATCAACAGCCACTTCAATATAACCACAAATCCCTTGCATTGCTTACTTTATGAGCTTCTTCGACAAAATCTGCTAAGACAGATGGACAATCGGGGTTGTGTCCACCCCCAAATTCCGTAATCATTGCCTGTCTGTCATCTTTCGCGAGCAAGGCAACGACCTCCTGCAACTCTTTTGTATGAGGAACCGGGAAACCTGCACTAGTTCCAGAGCCGTCGCTATCGAAATACTGCCAAAAACAAAACCAAAGAAAAAGTGGTCAGAGGGAGGCCCAACAGATATTTTTTTTTTGATGCACGAAAGCAAACCTGATGGATTTCGAATATCAGACCGGTACAACTGCCATCGGGGTTGTGAATCTTCGACATCCCGGCATTGTATGAGGTAGCAAAGGTCTGTAGATGGGACCAATTGTTGGCCGGTAAGATGATCTTGTTGGTGGCCCCTGTCTTCCTGATGGCTGTCACGACAGCCTGAAGAGTTTCGATCCATATATCTAGCTTCACGTCATGAGGTTCGTTCATTATCCCGAACCTAACCTCAGGAAATTCGCCAAATTTCTGGGCGATTCGGGTCCAGAAGTCTACCAGCGAACTTGCTGGTAAGTCTTCGGCCTCGCCGATCACTTTACCATCTCGTCTGGCGTACTTTTTGTCCCCCCCGTTGAGTTTGCGATGGAAATGGCGCATAATGGGTTTTGCAGAAGACTCGTCAAGCGCTACTTCTTCCATCTCACATTGAATCAAGAATCAAAGAAGTGCTACAAAACTTACGTTGTGTAAATCTATGATCACACTGGCCTTACAAGCCAACGCTGAATTCACATACTTCGAGAGAAGTTGGAGGGAATCTGGGTCCAGTGGCCCCATTATCTTTGGCTGAAGAGGACGAAAAGATTTGATCACCGCCCCCGCCCCCCCAAAAAAAGGATTGCGTTTGGTCAGTCTTTCTTTAACTTGACATTATTTTCTTCCTACAAGAAACATGGACTCAAAAACCAACTGACTTGCATTCTTTGCCAAGAGATTTGAATTCTAAAAGCAGTTACATTTTCCGCTCGGAAGTGTTGGATTTGACTGATCGGTGGTGGTTCCATTGGGTCCTGGTTCATGGTCCCAGTATTCTGCATACCAAATTCTAATCCTGCCAGGTTGACCCCAGCCCATCGTTTAATGTCTTGTTGAGATGGACCGCAAAACAAATTGAGAGCTTTGACACCCTGCACGAAGGCAATTGTCATTGGCAGTAGTGAAAATGATTTGTAGGAACTCAGCAACATCTTCTTGTCAATTTTAAAGTATTTGCGGCTTCTACTTAGGACCCCGTGGATCAATAAGATCTTAATATCACCCGATGGAGATATCACTGTCACAAATGATGGTAAACTAGCTCATCTCCAATTTGGCTTCATCACTCTTCAATGGCGGGTGTTTCTGATGCTCCGATCATTGGTTTGATCCAGGCGCTACCATTCTTGGTCAAATGGAAGTGGAACACCAAATCGCCAAACTGATGGTACAGCTTTCTCAGTCCCAAGACAATGAGGTTCGTCAGGTTTTGAAGCGCTATGACATTCCCATAAAGCCACCGTCCAAAAAAATGCTGATCGATCTTTCGATTCTCCATGCATCTTCAATTCCTTTTTTCTGCAGATTGGGGATGGTACAACTGGAGTGGTTGTTCTCGCTGGCGCCTTACTAGAGGAGTCAGAGGCCTTACTAGATCAAGGTATTCACCCAATCAGAATAGCCGATGGATTCGAGAAGGCTTGCAACGTGGCCGTTCAAGAGCTTGATCGAATCAGTGCCAAAACAACCCAGTTAGAAAAGGTCGCCACCACCAGTTTAGGTAGTGAAATGTCAGTCACGTCCCCTTTACCCCACTGAAGCTTTATCTTATCAACGATTTTGTAGTTGATGCATCAGCGTTCCTACATTGCTCCTCCGGAACGGAACGCCACCAGTCGTAGAACGAGTAGCATTGTAACCACTGAGGATGGATTGACGACAACAACGACTTACAATGGCTATAGCCGCAGAAGTAGTTCAACTTGTCTGGCTACTAGTTGGGCCTCCTCATCCTGCAATCATCTCCCTCCCCTCCCACCTCCCTCTTCATCATCCTCATCCTCCTGCTCTGCTCCTTCAACTGGCTTCCATCATCAATTGATCCTCAAACATGGGATTCAATGTATCAGTTGGGACTATTGTCCCCCAATCCAAAAGGTAGCTTTTCTAAAAAGAATAACTCTTCAGGAGAAATACTATGCCCAAAACAATTTTGCTCTGGCAGACAATCTGTTTTCATTTAAATTTCAGTACTTTTTGATGGCAAGTATGAGCATCAATCCGAGAGAGAGAGACCTGGTAGTACAGTACATATTTATAAGGTTTGTCTAACATGAGATACAAGTGAATGAAGCTTGTTCTTTGGTTTAGTTTTATCGATTCCGATTTTCTCAAACGTTGGTGATTTATTCGTGATTGCCTCTGGACGAGGAGCCAGCCTTGTCTCCCTTTTTCTTCAATGGACTGTACGACGCCATCGTGAAGCTTCCATCCTCGTGAGTTTGGTTAAAAATTCGGCGACTACGACGGACGGGCATGTTGGGCAAGACCTATTTTACATCAAACAATCATGCACCTATGTAGTTAGCTATATGTCCTGGTGTTGCTATCATGAAAAATGAGAATAATCATCACTTACCGGTGTTTTCTTAGCTCAAACTTCCCGCTGCTCATCAGCCGGGGGCGGTACAACCTCCGAGCGAGGTTCACCTTGGATCACTTCAGTGGCCACCACAATGGCTTCAGGGATTGGTGAGACGTCGAACTCCGGCGTGGATGAGTGCTTGTGAATGTCTGACATTTTTTTGTATTGTGGTGATCGATCGGTGTGGTTGGCACTGAGTCAGACTTCGCTGTATCCGACCTGAACAATGAGGGTGGTGATGAATGCCTGATCAGCCACCCTTGGCCGCTGGTGATGGATGCCTTGCATTCACGACAGCTTCACCAGTTGTCCTCGTCTGCTTGCCCTCAGTGGCAAGCTGAGGTCGGTCGGGTCAGCTGTACCACCCTGGTTGACTTGGAGGTCAAGCCAACCATGCTGACGGGCCTGGCGTGAGCATTGTTGGCTTGACCTCCAATTCAACCAGGATGTCCTAGGGTTCGGCGGGCCATGCATTGACATCGGCTTGCTCAACACCTGGAATCTAGGGCGGGCAGGTCATGGCTGATCTGCGCCAAGGCGATCTTTGCCCCGCTGCAGTGTCAACGTGGTCAAATGAAAAATAACAATCATGTGGTGTATTCGTGGCAGAGTCCGCCCCCTCGTCGACTGGAAGGACATCCTTCCGGTCGACAAGGTACTTGTACCTCGACGGCTGGAAGGAAGCCCTTCCGGTCGACGAGGTACTTGTACCTCGTCGACTGGAAGGACACCCTTCCGGTCGACGAGGTACAAGTACCTTGCCGGCTGGAAGGAAGCCCTTCCGGTCAACGAGGTACAAGTGCCTCGTCGACTGGAAGGACACCCTTCCAGTCGTCGAGGTACTTGTACCTTGACGGCTGGAAGGAAGCCCTTCCAGCCGGCCCTTTAGAGGGTGGGTATCCAAGGATACCCGCTCGGATACCCGCCAGCGGGTGCGGATGCGGATGCGGATGCACAGATGGCCGGAAAAAGCAGCCGGATATCCGGATGCCAATCGACCATCTCTAACAAGAGGTACCCAACCCTTTCTCTTTTTCAACTGATCATTGGAGGTTGAAGTTCAGACAGGACATTAGTGGTTTTTAAAGTTGACTGTATTTATGTTTATGCGTTTATGAAAAACCACTATTGAGGATATAAACAAAGGTGAAAGAGAAATTTCGATCAATTGAGAAGATGGAAGATGGTTATGCTTCCATATGTAATATGATCCCACAACACATGATTTCTGCACAAGGAATGAGATGAGTGAACACACAGGAATAATAAGAAAATAAAGGTCATAGGTTCAACAAGGAAAAGCGACTAAAGTACATGTGTTTGTTTTTATTTTGTTGTGGGAGTGGGGAAGAGACAGATCAATGTTGAGACCAGTTGATTGATTTCAAGTCAATTCCTTCTTGGACCATCTCCCACAAAGGACTCAATTCACGAAGGCCTTTTTGAAGATAAAAAAAAGAAAAGAGAAGGGTTAGTCAACAATTGCAGAAAAAAGATGAGAAGGAAGAAGAAGAAAGGGAAGGGTGTTCAACTTACGAGTGACGACATCGACGATTTTGTCAGCAACATAATCGACCTCTTGTTCAGTGGTAAATCTACCGATTCCGAATCGCAAAGAACTATGCGCGTTCTCATCAGAAGCCCCGAGAGCTCTGAGCACATAACTAGGCTCGAGAGAGGCCGAGGTGCAGGCACTTCCAGAACTCAGAGCTACATCCTTCAACGCCATCAATAACGATTCGCCCTCGATGTACTCAAAAGATAAGTTCAAACACCCGGCATAGCCCAACTTCTCATCCCCGTTCCGTACGATGTGTGTACAGCTTTGCGTGATCTTGTCGTGTAACCTCTGTGATAGTCTTGAGACGTGTTCGTGGTCATTCTAGAAAAACCAAGAACCAAAGAAATGAACATTTTTTTTTTCTTCTTTTTTTTGAAAAAATCCCAGGAATCATGAGATGGAATAGTGCTAACCTGAAGTTCCAACTTAGCAATTCTACAAGCCTCGCCAAAGCCGACCACGAGAGGGGCAGGGACGGTACCCGAACGCAGACCTCTCTCTTGCCCGCCACCGTTCATGATAGGCTCGAGTCTGACCCTAGGCCTTCGCCGAACATAAGCAGCTCCGATGCCTTTAGGACCATAGACCTTGTGGGAGCTCATACTGAGGAGATCGATTTGCATCTCCTCTACGTCAATCGGGATCTTACCCACAGCTTGAGCAGCATCGGTGTGGAAGAAGACTCCCTTATGACGGCGGATGATCGCTCCTATCTCTTTCAAGGGTTGGATGATCCCAATCTCATTGTTCACTGCCATAATCGAGACTAGAATGGTGTCCGGACGGATCGAATCGGCGAGCTCCTGCAGGTCGATAAGACCGTTACCTATTGCAAATGAGATATAAAAGAATGAATCAACACTAATCGTCTGAGTGTAAGGTGCTTATTCTCGACCTGTTTACTTACTTTTGACGGGTAAATAAGTCACATCGAACCCTTCATCTTGCAAAACTCTGCAAGAGTCCAGGACGCATTTATGCTCAGTCTGTGTGGTGATGATGTGACGCTTACGTTCCTGGAAGTTAGAAGGAGGGGTAAAAAGGATCAACCAAAGATGAAGATGACAACATAGAGAGAGAGAGAGGGAGAGAGGGAGAGAGAGAGGGAGAGAGAGAAAGAGGGAGAACAAACCTTGTAGAACCTACTGACGCCCTTAATCGACATGTTGTTTGTTTCGGTAGCACCCGAGGTAAACACGATATCTTTAGTGCTAGCGCCAATGAGATCAGCCACGTGGCTCCGAGCGGTTTCGACGGCCTTCTCGGTCTCCCAGCCATAAGCGTGAGTCTTGGAATGAGGATTACCGTATTGATTGGTCATGTATGGCATCATCGCATCCAGGACACGGGGATCAAGTGGTGTGGTGGCCTGTGAGAAGAAAGGAGTTGGCTATAGTGTGCTTTTTTTCATCTACAAGATAAAGAAAGAAAGAAAGATATGCTGTACCTGCATGTCCAGATAGATAGGTCTTCCGATTTTTTCTTGTTTTTGAGTGTTTTCAGTTTGACGTAGTTCGGGTACGGGAGAGACGAGGAGTGGGTCAGGATGATGAGCGATAGGGTCGATGATATCGAGGGTAGCTTGCATCAACTTAGAAGAAGAGGAAGAAGAAGAAGAAGAAGAAGCAGCAGCAGCAAGAGAGGATTGAGCGTCGAAGAGAGTTGATGGTCTGGACTGATCGACGACTTCAGCCATTTCTGCCTTGGAGCTTCGGGAGACGAATTGAGCAGTGGAAGTGGCGAATTGAGCTGGTATCGGTCGTTTGCATGGCGGATGAGCTGCTGCTAATCGGAGTGATGATCTCATCAAGCCTGAAATTTTTGAGGTGCTCATGATGGTGGGTGAGGTTTGGTTTGTTTTGATTGAAGAGGGTTGGATTGATGAAGTAGAATAGCGATGGTGAAGAGGAACGAAAATCAATCAAGGATCTCTTGATTGGTTGGGAGGATGGAAAGGGTTCTCGATGGTCAAGAAGGATCTCGGGAGTAGGGTGCGAGTACTTTGTGGTTGAGTGGACTGCGTAAAAAAAAGTATTTAAATTATTATTATTTTAATTGTATGCTTTCCCTTTTGTTTCGATAGTGCTTTCTTGTTTTTTAGCGTGTTTTCCGCTTTTGGTTTCAATCAGACCCTCATTGCCTGAACACCGCACAGCCACCCTTCGTATAGATCACAGCCCCAGCAATTATGTCAGGATGGTGCCGAATGAATCCACGAGCACTGTGATCATCCAAGGACCAACCCGATTATTAATTTTCTACAGGCTTTCTTCCCGTCCGCATGAACTGCTCTGCAGGTCTCTCAAGTTGTATGGACAGGTCACAGGTCTCTGAGGTGATGCAATCGCCCAGCATCATTGATCCTTGAAATTATTAGCTAATCAGGCTACATAGCACGGCTTATGGTTGTCGTCCAGCATATCAAAAAATCAAGGTTCGAAAAGTTCTAGACAAATTTAAGCATGGTATCTGATTCCAATGTCTGAAATTGACTGCTCTGGTGTATAAGACTCTATATGTAGTTGACTGGGAACATCCACAAGGAAATAAAGCAGAAAAAAGGCACCGATTGAATGCAGATCGGGGTGTGATTGGTTGCACTGTGATAGACTTGAGGAACATTTAAGCAACGGTGATGCTGGTGATTTTCACCTCATGATCCGGTAGAGGCTGAAGATAGTAAGTAACCCAAGACTCTCCATCAGTTCTCCATCCAGAGTAACGCGGCCATGCTGTTCAGCGGTGATGAATTCCTTGACTTACTTTATCAGTCTTATCGCATCGAACATTTTCGATCTCATGAACCACGTCAAAGCCCGATACACAACGTCCAAAGATACTGAAAACCATCCAGGAAAACCAACGGACCAATTGTTTTTTTAGAAAAATTGGATTCCTTGGTTGATTCACTACAGATATCAGACGGAGAATGCTTACGTGTGTTTGTTATCGAGCCAAGGGGTGGGTACGGTAGTGATAAAGAATTGAGACTGGAAGAGGAACAAAGATGAATCAGAATGAAAACCGATCCAGACCCCCAGGAAACATCATGACTCACGCCGTTGGTTCCGGGTCCAGCATTGGCCATACTGAGACAATAAGGTCGATCATGCTTGAGATTAGGCACAAACTCATCCTCAAAGTTACCACCCCAAATAGATTCACCACCTATGAATGAAAGATCAGACATAATATGGAATCAAACAATGCTCAACCAAAGAGAGAAACAAAGAAGAACAAACCAGTCCCATCACCGCGAGGATCACCGGTTTGAATCATCTGAGTATAAGCAACATGGAAAACGAGTGAGCTAAAAAAACAGTTTGGTGAAGAGCTGAGCAAGACGAACGTACGAATTTCCGAATGATCCGATGAAAGATCACGCCGTCATAGTATCCATTCCTAGCATGACCGACAAAGTTTTCGACGGTCTTAGGCACCAATTCAGGGTTAAGACGACAATGAATATCGCCACGAGTAGTATGAATGACGGCGGAGGTGCCAAGGAGGACCTTAGCAGCTGGGGCGACTGCAGCAACCGCTTGTTCCTCCCTCGTTGGCTTCTCGTTGAAGATATCTCGATCCGTGTTCTTCGTCCCCGAATCACTGCCATTAATCCATTCCATCACTCCCCCCGGCTCAGTCCTCATCCATAAATCTTAATGCTGAGTTCTCTTAACTCACGATTCCGGCTCAGTTTGATTGAAAATATAAAACCTAGGCCGCTTGAATGCAGTGCAAAATAGACTAGGTTCTGTTCGTCCTTCATCAGCCAACAATGGATTATCTGAAATTGCCATCGCCTGAGTCACAAAATCACAATAACTTAGTTTCTGGGTGGAAGAAAAAGAGAGGCGGGGGGAGACGACTTACAACTGTCATAATTTCCTCTTTGCGCAGTAGACTTGGCAGTAAAGATAAGTGTAAGAACCGATGATTCTCATCCTTACCAAGAATCCGGACCATCTTATTCAGCTGGATGTTGACAACTGTTTGTGTCATTTTAAGAATAATAAGCTGGCTGGTTTCCTGGATATCAAATAGTGATGAGATCTACTTCACTTTTAATTCCAAGTAGGGAGGGGTAGAGCAGGAAAGTGCTACTAGGGTCGAACACCGCACTCCCACATGCGCCAGGCATCAGTCCACTCTCAACCGTTTTACCCAGCTCACGTTCGACAGCCAATCGTCGACCGAACTCCATATCATCCAAACTATAGGCCGCCGTCCCAGCCTGTTGCATCTCGGTGATCGCCGTGATACTCTCGTCATATTTCCGGAGTAACTTGCCAGAGGAGAAGTTAAAAACACAGATACTATGCTCGGTTGAGTTGAGGGTGGTCGTTGCGAAGTAAGAGCCGTCATCAGACACCGTCAAAGAGGATGGAACCGACTTCGACTGTCAACAGGATTAGCATCTGATCCGCCGTGTTCTACTATCAATCAACAAGGCTTATGGGTTACCTTTTTGAATGAATATAGATCAGTTTGGCTTTTTAGTGACCATTTCAAACCCTCAGGAAGAGCAAAGCCCTCGGAAGGCTCCCAGTACTCCAGCATCCCAGAGGTGTCCGCGGAGATAACGCAGTTAAACCTTGGATTGAACTGGGAGTAAGACCATCAGTCATTCCGCTTCTGATTTGGACTATAGGCAATAGTGAAATCAACCAACCGCAAAGAGATGGACTGGAGCTTGGTGAAGAGTAGAGGTTGACATAAAAGGCTTTCCATCACCTCTGCCATCGAAAAAATGGATAGCGGGGGATTGTGCATCGGAGCTAACAAATCATAGAAGAGTCGGTCAACTATTTGAATGAAATGCAGCTGGTTGTAAGACGCAAAAAAAAAACTTACACCGCCAAGATAGTGGCAGCCTGTCCGATATCGTGAAGCCAACAACACGCTTGAGGGACGAAGTTGATTTTGAACATATTGATCATATCTGTCCTAGATCCGAATTAGTCAATCCTTCCCGTTTCCAATTGTTGTGCACATGTGAATGAGGATTGGAACCAGGGGAAATCTACCAAAATTCTTCACGTCAAAGATCTTGATGCTCCCCCCTTCTCCTTCCGCCGACACACTCGCATACATCATCCCATCCACTGATGCAGAGACTGAGACGATCGGACTCAGATGGGCTCGATAATGTTTAACAAACCTGTTTGTTTTTTCGTATTCCCGGGAAAAAAAAATGTCATGAGCAGTGGTACCACCAGGATAGGTTATCAGATACACAAGATCTGAAGGAATAACGATCCAATGAGAAATGTGAATATAAAAAAACATACATACTCTATTCCAGGCCCTTCCTTGGGGTCTTTTTTTGTCCAGAATTTGATATGACCGTCGACGGAAGCGGTGATAATAAACAATGTTCTGGAGAATGAGAGAAGAGGAGTGTGTAAGTAAGCCTATATGGATATCATGAGTGGCAGAACCATACTTACTTGGTCACTGTTATCCAAGAGACTACATCCCGATGCATAAATGATCGGTGGTAACGTTCGGCAGATGGGAGGTTTTTCAAGTACAGACGTTCGTGTTGGTGTGCCGCTCGAGCTACATAGATCGACGATCAAGATGACGAGAAAAATTAAAATGTCAGTACTTAGTAGGACGCGTTGAAAAAAGAAAAAGCAGAAGAAAAAAAAAGACTCTGAAGAGAATGCCAATGGACACCTGTGATGACCGAGATGAACAAAAACACACACCTTTTTTCCGAGTTTTCTCCATCTTCTTCAGTCCCTTCTCGTCATTTCCCATGGGCAATGGGCCCACCTCTTCATCACTCTCTTCATTTGTTGTTGGATTGGGATCGGTTGGTTTGGGGGAAAGAGATTCGGTGCGCGAGCGCTTCCGTGCAGTTTCTTCGGACATGACTCGACGGCGTTGTTCAGTTCTTGTTGCTTGGGTTTGCTTGTTCGAAAGTTGTAAAGCTCTGGTTGAAGAATCTTGTCTTTCTAGTTTGGAGGCTTCCGCAGCCCCGATCAAACGGGACCTCTTCCTGCCCCGAGTCGGGTCTTCCGTTCGGGGAGCTAGAATCGAGCACTTTCTCCGGCAAGACCAGACAGACATCGTAGCATCAAACCACCACCACCAGTCTCACAAGCTTGAAGCACCTATCATCATGCACAACTCAAACTTTCGGTGCACCTACGCCAGGATATTCTCAACAGTGCTTCTTTTCGGCTTGCCCAACAAGAACCATGCTTTCATGGAAACATCTTCATTCTTGGCTTGGTCCAACGCACCAGGGTAAGCTCAAGACTTTCCTTGCTCCTCACGACGTACATATCACCACATGATTGATAATTGGAAACTTGCAATATATTTGAATTTTGGTTGAAAACAGTGCATCTCTACAAGAGTTTTTCGGACAGGGATTACCGGATCGAGGGTTCCAAGCGGCCACTGACCAACTGACCTTTGCGTCGCGATCCGAACCACTATGTCCTACGGGTGCTTCGTCTCTAACGATCTTCGACCTCTCAGAATCCGACAAACGCTCGGAACTCAACAACGGATTCCTTTCCTCTCAGACGATCACTCAAGAGTTCAATGCGCTCCCTGAACCTTCCAGGTTCTGGACTACTCATTTCCCTATCTCCTTGGCCGATCGTTGGGTCGCTGAACTCCCGTCGATCTGGTCTGGATTGTGTCATGGTCAAGTGTCGGTAATTAAGGTCAAAACTGGCGAAGATTTGGGTGAGCATTTCCTTTAAAAAGTCAACAAAAGACCTTATTCAAGCTTATTAAAAACTGCTTTCTTGTTTGACGTCGGTGTAAAATAGATGCAGCATTTCTTAAAGCAAGCCAAGAGGGTGATCAACCACGACTAGTAATCTTGACGACATCGCCGGCTCCTCTGGATGCGAGTAGTAGATTGATAGAAAGACGAGGCCTATCAGAGAACATCAGCAGCAGTAGTAAACCAATAAGCTCTGAGGCCCTTCCAGACCCGAAGACGGGAGTATTCTGGCGATATAACTTGCTTTCGGATTACTTGATCGTCGGCGTCCTCGTCCTCATCTTGCTCTTCATCCCTCCCGTCGTCTTGGGCGCCTTCGCTCTCCAATCTATTGAATCCCCTAAAGGCTTGAAATCTAAAATGGTCGGTCAAGTCTCCGAAGTCAAAGGCAATTGATCCCGCTACATATCGTCCTCTTTTACTTG